ATCCTTTGATTTAGGTTATTCTTATCAGCAAAATTATTAATAAGAGATTTTTTTCTCTCATTTTTTTCCAAGAAAATGAGTAAAAAAACAGATCATGTATAGAATGAATATATGCCCCATCAAAGGCTAGGTGATAGGAGATGAGTGAAATATGAATAGTGTGTAAAGTTAAAATCTTTTTTTCTGGCAAAAAAAAGTAGAGCTAAAAATCTTTATTATTACATGGAAGATTTTAAAAAAAAAAAAAAAACAAATGCAGGCTATATATGGAGATGAAATGAGGCTAGAATTATTGGAGAGTGTGTTGTGAAGAAGGAATATATGATTTGTCTTGCACAAAACAAAAAGGACATTTGTTGCTTTAATAATTTTTTTTTCATTGCTGTTTGTTCACGATCCAAGAAAAATAAAAGAAAATAAAAAGCCAAAAGAAAAAATAAGTACAGTTCCCTCCATTATTTTGTACCCTACTTTTGTACATATGAGTTTTTTTTTTTGGTTAAAAAAAAAGATTTTGTTTTTGTTTTTCCTCTCTCTTTGTCTCTCTCTTGTTACAATAATTCTTTCCCTTTTTTAATGGAGAGGTGCCCCCGAGCACAGTCGTTCGGACTCAATTTATACATTATTACCTGTTGTCCATTATTCTTTGTACTATTTTCCTTTTTTTTTCTTTTTGCCTTTTTGAGGTTTTCTTTTTATTGAAGGACGGGCAACTTATAACTTGCACATGTTGTTGTTGGGCTTCATAAGTTGTGTTTCTTCTTGCTTTGCCACTTGTCAAGCCACTATAAGGTATTTGCTTCAATTTTAAATATATATGAGTTAAATAATTAATTTGTAAAAATTATAAAAATTAGTTGTCCATAATAAGCATGTGTTGTTTTTTTTTGTTGTTGTTGAAAATATTCAGTTTATTCATTTGCATCAGAAAATACCTTTGTTAATAAAAATCCATTTTAATATATACAATTAATGTAATTATTTAACATATGAGACCCAGTGAATTGATTTATTACATTCAAACCAAAATAAATCTCCCATTCAAATCTTACGTCTAAAATTGGATAAAGTATTAAAAGAGGGCAATCACATGAATTTCATAGTAAGTTATATTGTTCATCATTAAAATATAACGTCAGTCTTTTTCTTTTTTTTTGGGTCTCACGTAAATTTAAATGAATTATATAAAACAAATTCACCTTATAAGGAAGGAGAAAAACACCCTTCAACTGCATTGACAACTCCCACATTATCTATCATTTCACAATTGAATATGTAATGATGATAATATTTAGGTTTATTTATAAGAAAAATTGGGAAAAAATTTTCTCATTAAAAATTTTATTGATGAAAATTATCCGAATAAGATTATTAATACTTCTCTGGTCCTTAATATATGACCTAATTAGTAAGTTAATTTTAGTCTTAAATATAAGACTTATTTCTCATATTCATTAATTTTTCATAAATTATTCCTATGAATACTCCCTCAACCATAATCAAGTAGAAAAGAGAATAAAGATATTAAGGAAGATGATTATGATGTTTTAGGAAAAACATGTTATATTTTTTTATAATTAACTAACTTACATAACTTTCTTAATGTAATCAAATTAGTTAAATAGATATTATATTAAGAACCAAAAGAGTATTATGTATGTACATTGTATAAAAAAAAAATTATGTATGTACGTAATCTGTAGGATACAAGGGAATACGGGCCAGCCCGTCACAACCCGCGGGTTATGTGGTGCGGGCTGGAGCAGCTCGCCAACCCGCTGTTTTTTTTTTTTTAATTCTCAATTTTCAAATCTTATTTTTATTTAATTTTTAAATTAATAAATGGTGATCTAAAATTTTAAAAGCAATCATAAGTATAAATTATGTTTAACCACATTTAAAATAGTCAATACAAATATAAAACAATACATTACAAATATTTCACATGATTAACATTCAACATCAACTCATCAAGTGATAAATTTTATAATTTTTTTCATATAATGCCATGTTTGATGCAAAACACTATCTTTTAATAAATTAGAAGTGCATTTATCTTTTTTTTTTTAAAGTTCATTCACCATGTTTTTCTAAAACATTTTTTTCCGTAATAAATATTGTCTTATATTTGATTGTAGTTATTAAATTTTTGCTATAAATATAGTATGCTTATTTTTAAAAAATATTTTTTGTTTACATATGTATTATGTAACATGAAAATTGAAATATAAATAAGAGAAGAAAATTTTCAAATATATATGTAAAAAAATTTAAAAATAAAAAGGTAACGGGTTATGCAGTGTGGGCTAGAGGAGCCCGCACCTTGACAGGTTGGCAAAATGCTAATCCTAAGTTCCTAACCCGCTTTTTTATGATGGGTTAACGGGTTGGCTCGTAGGTTCCAACCCATATTCTCGGCTGTAGATACAATAGTCTCTCTATATAAAAAAATTATCAAGTTCGTACTTCGTACTATTTTTGTTTTGAGGTTTCCTGAAGGACGAAGGTGGTTATGATTTTCACATGTTTTTGTTGGACTTTTGTATTTTCCATGTTTCTTCTCGTTCGGACACTTCAGATTCCCCTGTTGGAAAGCTAAATAAAATGTAACAGGATATTTATAATATTTATAAGTTTTTTTAGCCACCATGATTTTCATAATTTCTATATATATATTTGTTGATTATATTTTTTTCATCGTTTTTTTTAAATTCTATGTGTATGTGGGTTGGATAATAAAAAGCATGATGTCATGTTGATTAATTCTTCAAGTGTATCCAGGTTAAAAAATTGGATAACTATGCAAAGGTCTAATGGATCGGATTAAGTGCACTGAATTTACCTAAAGATAAAGATGGAGCTAACATTTGTTACATTGTTTCAAGCAAAGCACAACAAAACAAGAGAGCAACTTCTCTATACAATGTCATAACAAAATCTGGCTACCTTGGGTTGGGCCAAATTGAGGAAAAAACTGGAAGAATTATATTAGAATAGGTCACATCTCATTAATTCATAGGTTAGCAATTCAGTCAAGTTGATACAAAACCAATCATGACTATAAAAAAAAAAAAACCAATTGGGCTAAAACCTTTCCCCTATGTTTAGATGGGGGGAATTGAGGATGGAAAAAAAATACTATGAGGGAATACTTTTAAAAATTGTTAAAAAAATTATTATTTTTGAAAGTTTTTCCTCCTAATACTCTCCTCTTCCTTTTTACCTCCATCCAATCATATAAGTTAGCAGCAATTCATGAGAGGAAAGAAATTATCGTAATTTATAGATAAGAAGCAGACCTCGAAAGAAAAAAAAATTTTAATGAAAAAGAAGATGATAATCACACCCTAAAATAAATTAATAAGCAAGCACGTGGGAATTAATCCCCAGTATGCCAATATGAATAGGATCCATTATACAAATAGGAATGTGGTGAAGTGTTGGTGAGTATTATGAACTCAAGAAACATATTTGAAGCAAATACCCTAAGGATGAACTTTTTTAATGAAGGATTTTACTGAAAACTAGACTTCACTCATGAGAGTGGTAGACAAATTAATCCAATGAATAAGGTCAACAACCTGGAATTCAATAATGAACTTCCTAAAACCTTTGGACCAAGTAATCAAAAGGAAATGAACATATTAGATAAGATTGCATGTGTGTGTCCATGCCCCAGTACCTACACAGTGGAAACAGTAGATTAGGACCCAGTGGCTCCATTTAGAGCAAACATCCATTAATGTGTGCCTGGCAGGTGGGATTTAGAGCAAATCAATCTTATCTCTTGCAATTTATTTTGAATTATATTATATATATAAGGACCGGAGGTAGTATGTCATAGCACAATGATATCGATATGTTTGGCAAATTCGTGAACGGCATGATTATGCATTTTGAAAGACCAAAGGAATTAAAACCAAAACAATAGAAGAATGCGTGACAAGGCCCAAAATAGCTCGAGGGCAAGGAAAACTTCCAATAAAGCTATCAGAGGCTCATACTCATAAAAAGATAAAAAGGGTCAACGTTTCTTTTGGTTATTAAACAATTGCCTTCAATAAATTTGATCACACTAAGTGATGGACAGTTAATCTTTAAATGTATTTATAGTTAAAAATTTTAAGCTTATATTATTGATTAAGGTTAAAAAAGTCTATATAATTAACAATAATTTCAAGTAAATGATTATGATTACTTTTCTAGAAGTTTGCATTCAAGAAACTTCCGAAGGTTCCCAATTCCGCAGCTGCTGGAAACTTCTCATATGTTTTCATTTGACTCCCACACTTTTTTTCTTCCTTCCCAAGATAGGATTGAAGCACAGTGGAACTGGAATAGACTGGACGCGACAGTAAACTTTTCTCGAGAAAATCAGATGATTCCTTTCAATCCCAGAACTTTCCAGAGGGCGCCATTTCACGTATCTTGCATTTTCCATCCCCTTGATATAAATACACAAATAAACATCCTTATCTTCCCAGAAAAGCAGTAAAAAGAAACAAGGAGCACAAATAATCTGCTTACATCAGAAGCCCAAACACGGGAAAAAAAACGAAGAATGTCTCTGTTCCAAACCCTGATGAACCAAAGTGACTTGTTCGAGCCTTTTCGAGTTTTCCTCAATGAAAATTCAGACACCCCGATGGATTGGAGGGAGACCCGAGAAGCCCACATCTTCGAAATCGATCTTCCTGGGCTAACCAAGGAGGATGTGAAGCTCGAAGTTCATGAAAACAGAGTCCTCTGTGTCAGCGCGGAGAGAGAAGAAGAAGAAGGAGACAATGACGAGACCAAAGAGGAGAAGAAGAGCCTCAGATGGCATTGCAAGGAGAGAGAAACCATCGGAACCATATCGAGGCAATTCAGGTTACCTGAGAATGCGAAGGTTGAAGAAATTAAGGCCTCAATGAGGGATGGAGTGCTGAAAATTACAGTGCCCAAGGATGAGACCAAGAAGAAGCATAAGCAGCAGAAGAAGGAGATTGATATTTCTGGAGACGATGATGGGGCTGCACGTAAAGGGATCGGTCGTTTTGTCTGTTGCAAGGCTTAGATTTAGATGCGAGTTATCCAAGGTTGCAATTTGATGAAGGGTTTGATTTTATGTTTTGGTGTGCATTTATGTCTGTGATTGCTCTGTGAATACGCACGGTCCATCTGTTCAACCTTTTTCTGTCTGTTCTTTTGGATGGTACTTTTGGGATCGAAAAGGTTTGCAGCTTTGGTTCTTGTTATTGTTGCTGTTGTACATTGTTTATGTGTATAAATTGAAGTTCATACTGAAAAGAAACTTCAAATTTTTCGGGCTTTTAATTGTCTGACGTGATATGGGAGTTTGGGTTCAGTTAAGTTATGATGGCTTAAGGGGATGAAATTCTCATGTTTTGGCGTCTAATGCACGCGGATAGTGCCATTCGAATTTTAATTTGTCAGGACTAGTTTTCCGATTAGATCCAACCTTATTAGTATTAAAATAGTTGGTAGTTGACACTTGGAATTTGTTTTTGAATTTGGGCCACTGCCTCACAGAATGAATGTAGATTTTGCAAATCTAAATTGTTTTTGGTGTTTGGGGGGGGGAAAAAAAAGAATTTAGATTTTGCATTAAAAGAAAACACCTAAAGATTGCGTGGGTTTCATCATAATCTGGCCCAAAGATACCCATAGTCTTGAGACATATAACTACGGATCACCATTTTTGTATGAAAATCTCCATTTTCTTTTCTTAGGAGGGTTAGAAATTAGAATATCATTCTCAATAGTATTCGTTGGTGACCAATTAGAAAATTGGTTTTTTTTTTTTTGGCCGAAACACATTATAAAATTGTTACCGCAATTATTTTTAAATTGTGTAAAGCTCGTGGTTGACTTTAAATCATTGCTAGCTGTCCCAAGATGCCTCGTTCCTTGCTTAGCTCTGAACCAGGAAAGCCTTCCCATCAAACTGATAAAATATTTCTAATAAGCTTCATCTTCTCCTGGGGATTTGAATTATTTATTACTTGCTTTCTGTTCTGAAACGGGCAAAGCCCAATCCACGTGTTGGCATGTCAGGATGGTAGCAAAGAGAGTGACCACCACGTTTGGTTTAGCTTTCAGGTTTTAAACACGCGACATCTCCATGTAACGTACCAACAAAATAATATCTGGCATTGCAAGCAAAAACATGAAGCCCCGCTATGTTTCTGTGGTTTTGCTTCTGATCACCACTTGTTGTTTAGAAGCAGAAGCAAATTTGGGGAAGAAGTCAGTGAATTCCTTCCCACCTGAAGCATTGCTTTCCACTGGTCACTATCACACAACATGCCCTGACGCTGAAGCCATTATCAACCAGAAGGTCACAGCTTGGTTTAAAAAGGACCCCACCTTGGCTCCCGCCATCATTCCCCTTCATTTCCATGACTGTGCCGTTAGGGTAATCTCAACTCTCTCTCTCTCTCTCTCTCTCTCTCTCTGTGAGACCGTTTTCTAAGTTAAAGTCCCAATGTGATTCTAATTCTAATGGGTTATGGCTACAGAAGTGGGATGAGGAATCCTATATGAAAAGCTAATTGTTGAAGTGGAAGTGGAAGTGGAAGTGGAGAACCAATCCACTTAACTATCCTCACTGTGGGGACTTAGTATCCCCTACCACCAAGTTTCATGAGATTCCAAGTACATTATTGGTGTATTTATTTCTAACAAGTTTATATATTTCCTTTGGATTCACCTCTAACATATTATGAGAGCAGGGATGCGATGCATCGATTCTGCTCAACCATACAAACGGTGAGAGGGCAACTCATGAGAGCAGGACCCTAAGAGGATTTCAAGTGATAGATGATATCAAAGCAGAAGTAGAGAGAAAATGCCCTAAAACTGTGTCTTGTGCAGACATTCTCACTGCTGCTGCAAGGGATGCCACCATTTTAGCAGGAGGGCCATTCTGGGAAGTCCCATTTGGCCGTAAAGATGGCAGAATCTCCATAGCCAGAGAAGCCAGCTTGGTCCCTCAAGGCCATGAAAACATCACAGCCCTTCTTCACTTCTTCCAAGAGTTAGGCCTAGACATACTTGACTTGGTCTCTCTCTCTGGTTCCCACACTATAGGAAGAAGCACATGCAACTCCTTCATGAATAGGGTTTATAACTTCAATGGGACTGGAAAACCTGACCCTTCATTGAACGTATATTACCTGAAAATGCTTAAGAGAAGATGCAAAAGAGAGACAGATTTGGTGCACCTGGATGCCATAACTCCAAGGACTTTTGACAATGTTTACTACACAAATCTTTTGAGGAAGGTGGGTTTGTTGTCGACAGATCAGTTATTGTATTCAGATTCAAGGACTGGTCCTTTTGTTCAAGCATTTGCAACCCAACCTTTCCTTTTCAGTAGCCAGTTTGCAGCTTCCATGGTGAAGCTTGGGAATGTTCATGTTTTAACCAGGCCACATGAAGGTGAAATCAGAACCAACTGCAACTATGTCAATCCTGTTTGATAAAATTGTCTACCTATGAATTTATGAAGAGCTAAATTCATCTATTTTAACATTTGGGATATTACTTGGAGTTATTTTTTAAAATCATTCTGTATTGGAGTTTTGCGAAGAATTAATGAGTCATTGTGTAGATGTTTGTTTCAACTTCATGAAATTTGATGTGAGCGTAGTTTGTGATTATAATGAAGTGAAATAGTCAAACTATGGGCTAATTTATATGCAACAGAATGATCATACAAACCCCTCAAAGCCTCCCACTACCTTCAAAAGAAGACATTGCCAATCAAAAGTTCTGAGAAAGTCAATGTTATAATTTATCAGCTCCTTTTACTTTATTTTTAAGGTCTTATTTGGATTCACCTCAACCATGTAACTCAAAGTTCCTTTTCATATAACGACATGTTTATCAATTACTATAATGCTGTTTCAAGCTTAATCTTCTCTTTCACGTTTTGATACAAGTGCCATTTTTTGTCTCTATTAATGCAGATCCAAGCAAATGTAAATAATAGTTTGACATAAAGTTAAACTAGAGCCCTTATTTCTTTCTTTCCAAATTTTTTCTTCTTCTTCTTCTTTTGTTTTTCCTATTATTCTGTTTGGACCAATTCTTTCAAGTATACTACTTCCGATCCTTAATATAAGAGATTCAATTTGATTCTAAATATAAGATTTCAATTTACTTTGTTTTTTATATTTATTAGTTTTTTTCAAGGTAACTTTCGTAGTAGTTGTACAAGTTAAAGATTTTACTAATACACATTATTAGTAAAAGTATTTTAAAAAAGATAACACCTATTTATTAACTTAATTAATTTTTTTAATATACTCAAATTAATCAACTAATTTTAATTTAAGCTAGTATGTTAGTAGTGTGCGCAAACATATTTCTCGACTCTATACAATTTTTTCAGCAGACAACTGGACGTAAGACGTAACAAGTAACAATAAATTGACCAAGGATTTTGTATAATCTATTAGACCTGTTTCTTATAAGCACTTACCCCCATTCTATTATAATAAAATATATATAATATTAAAAAAAACAGAGATTGGATCAACGTTTACAGGGACCGTCAATTACGTCTTGCATTGGTGTATAGACAAGCAATAAATGCTGGGCTAATCTCACGCTGCATGATCAGTTGATCACCCATCAGATCAAATCATTGGGCGGACGGTAGAGAGATGGATAGATAAATCCATATCATAAAAGCAAAACGATTGCTAAAAGGAGACAGATCGTTCAATCACAAAGCTAAAAGAGAAAAAAATCACTCACCTTTTAGATCAAAGCAGAGGGAGGGAGAGACGGAGTGAGTGGCTATGGCGAAGAAGGCTGTGCTGATCGGGATCAATTATCCAGGAACCAAGGCGGAGCTCAGAGGTTGCATCAACGATGTATGGAGGATGCACAAGTGCCTGATCCAGCGATACGGTTTCTCCGAGAACGACATCACCGTCTTGATCGACACCGATGACTCTTTCACCCAGCCCACCGGAAAGAACATCCGATCGGCTCTCACGAGGCTCGTGCGCTCCGCTGAGCCAGGAGACGTCCTGTTCGTGCACTACAGCGGTCACGGTACGCGCCTCCCCGCCGAGACCGGCGAGGACGACGACACTGGCTACGACGAGTGCATTGTTCCGTGCGACATGAATCTGATCACTGGTCCACTCTCTCAACTTTTTGTCCTCGGATTTTATCTTCTTCTTTTTTTCCCCATATATTCTTTTGCCTTATCTTATTATTGCGTTTCATTTTGTCAAGTTGATTTGATATTATAAATTGTTTTTCTCCTCTTCTCGCTCTAGATCTTCATTGGGAAGCTTCATGTAAAACCACTTCGAGTTAGAGAATGATCGAAGTATTATTCTAAAGATATACAATCACTAACACTAATGACGTTACACAAGAATTCCTTTGTTCTGGGAATCTGGATCCAGAATGTCTTGTGATCTAGAAACTAATAGTAAAGTTAGCGTCTTCTTTTTAGGATGAATCTGAAATTCTGAATATTTTTAGGACATTCGATAGGTATCTATGACGTAGCCAACCACATCATCTTTTGTTGGCACTAAAGTGAACTATTGCCCATTGGTCGATGTTACTTCTACCTAGGTAGGGCGCCTGGATATTACGGTACAGAAAAATTTTCTACGTAGGGCGCCTGGATATTACGGTACAGAAAAATTTTCTATCTTCCTGAAATTTGATTAGCCAACGTAAAGTTTGATTGAATGACACTTGAGATCCCAATAAATTCAGGGAATTTCTTATTCAACCTCATTTTCATTTGAGTTGGATCCATTATGTGGGAACTAATATCACGTTAGAAGTTCATCCTCCAATATTTTGTAGTTCAGGAAAACTGTGTTAGGGTACCAGTTATTTGGCCCAATTTGACTCTGACAAAACCCAGTTATTATATGCATTTGTTTGGGAAGTTCAAAACTGACTCCTGCAAAATGGAATATTAACCCAAAACTAGGTTTTGTATCGCTTTCAGGAAACAGTTTTCACAAATGGGAGCGGGGTTTTGCAAATTGGGAGACCAACATACTGCTCATGCTTTTTGTCGAAATATGCAGATTCCCAAAAAAAAAAAAAAAAAAAAGAAATTGGGAATTTTCCTGTGCAATTTCTTGTGCTGCCATGCTTCTTGCTGGAAACAATCCTAACATGCTTTACGTGTAAACAGATGATGATTTCAAGGAATTTGTGGACAAGGTGCCTAGAGGCTGTAAGCTCACAATTGTATCAGATTCTTGCCACAGTGGTGGCCTCATTGAAGAAACCAAGGAACAGATAGGAGAAAGCACAGGAGGGGGAGAAGGTGAGCATGATTCAGGCTCAGGTTTTGGGTTCAGAAGCTTTGTTAAACAAAAAGTGGAAGATGCCATTGAGTCTCGTGGCATTCACATCCCTTCAGCACTACGGCACCACCTCAGGAACGGAGATGATGAGGAAGAAAGAGATTTTGTAGTTTCACGTGAGAGTGATTATGGCTACGTGAAGAGTAGGTCTCTCCCTCTCTCAACTCTCGTTGACATCCTGAAGCAGAAAACTGGGAAAGATGATATAGCTGTGGGGAAGCTGAGACCTGCTCTGTTCGATGCGTTTGGGGAAGATGCTAGCCCGAAAGTGAAGAAATTCATGAACATTGTGTTTACCAAACTCCAACATGGTAGTGCTGAAGGTGAACAGGGTGGTGGGATTATGGGCATGGTGGGTAGTCTTGCCCAGGAATTTCTCAAACAAAACCTGAATGAAAATGATGAGGGATATGCGAAACCTGCCTTGGAGACACGTGTGGAAAGCAAGCACGAGGTGTATGCTGGATCTTCTAGTCGCCGCCTTCCGGCTGGTGGAATTCTTATGAGCGGTTGCCAGTCTGACCAAACTTCTGCAGATGCAAGCCCTTCTGGAGATTCTGATAAAGCTTATGGAGCTTTTAGCAATGCCATTCAGGCTATAATAGAGGATACTGATGGTGCTGTCACTTACCATGAGCTTGTGACAAAGGCTAGGGAGATACTGGAGAGGCAGGGCTTCACTCAGAAACCTGGACTCTATTGCGGTGACCACGATGTTGATGCTCCTTTTGTGTGCTGACATAATTTTACAGTGCAAAGAAATAGAGATACATAATAAGGTGTGTGTTTTTGTGTGTGTGTGTGTTTTTTTTTTTTTTTAGTGTTTTTGAATGTGCTCATGTATTGAGTCTGGGACAATAAGTCATCCACAAGGGAATATTTACTTCATATATATCATTTCAATGCTAATGTATTGTGATTGATACAAACTGGCTCAGACTGCCCACTGCATGTGATACAACCTAGGCATCTACTGTCTGTCACTTGATCAGAGACCTTTACAAATATACAAAAATGCAATTATATGCCAAAAATGCGTGATACTATTCAAAAAATTCACAAAAAATGAGACTGCGCGATTCAATTGCACGATGCAGAGGATGAGCCCTTCTCCCCTCCAAAAATTGTCCATTTCTCCAAACAAAACCTGCACGTTAGGGTTGAGCCTTTTCTTCAAACAAAAAGTGCTCCTGCAGTTCAAACCTCCAGATGCTTGTAACAATGTAAGCAGCTTTCTGAAGGCAGCAACCAATGGCCTCTTTGCCAGAAAAATTAAAAAGGTGTCAAAAGTATGTTGTCCTAGGTCAATCGTCGATTTCTTGTACCCATGCTAAACCTGTGACGTGTCAGCAGTTAATATTAGATTGGCTTCTACATCACCTTTTCACAGACAAAGAGTAACATCAAAATCATCAATGTAAAATATTAAAAGTGTAAAAATAGAAGATTATATGACTTTGGCTCGAAGTCTTTGTTTCTGATGCAAGATGTATTTTAGCAGACTAAATTGGGCATGACTAGAGAACAGTATCATCTTTATCTTTTCATATTTTTGAGGCACTGGAGTCAAAATTTGTTTCCAGGTTTTGCTTACCAAACAGGATTTCAGTTTGATCTAAAACAAACACTACCGTATACATTAAACACACAAATATCTCATTTTCTGTCTTATACATGAGCAACTAACGCTGCAAGCCAGCCACACACACACGAGAGAGAGAGAGAGAGAGAACCTTGAAGCACAGCTTCAACGGCTGCATTAGGAACAAGAAGACCAACTATACGTTGGTTATCTGTAGTAGTTTCAATACGTACAACACGTAACCTCCTATGGCTTAGGCGGGCCTGTAAAGATGGTTAAATGTGCTCTTGAGTAATTTCATCATGAGAAATATCTTAAAAAGAAATAATACTTGAAAGTAATGACTACTAGAAAGACATCTAATCAGTCACGGATAAAGTCAGAAGCATCTCCGTTACCCCCCCCCCCCCCCAAAAAAAAAAAAGGTCAGAAGCATTTCATAATTCCTCGATGATTCATTGAACCACCAGGACCATTCACATTGGACGTCTTTCAGGAAAGAAGGAACTAGTTTAGAGGGTACTATAATATGTTAATCTTATATGGTTATCAAAGCCGTTTAACACTTATTTTTCCCAATCAACCTAGTTATTCGAGAACTCCACACAATTAAATCACCATCTCAAAATGGTAACACAATTTTTATCACTAGAAGTTTCAGATCCTGCTATGTTATATGCCGGCTAAGTTACCTGATTAGATAAGGCCTTCTCTATAGCTCCCCAGACTGGAAGAATGAGACCGCCTAAGACATTTACTTCCTGCAGTCTTCTGCCAACTGTACAGAATTTGCCAAGCTTACAATTGGGACCATGCATACACTGCCAAGAGAGATGAAAAAAATGTAAGATAATGTAGAGCCATCAAAACCTCATATTTGTTCACCTAAAGTCTAAAAGGGAGTTAATGTAGCTAGTAATGGACTTGCACGCTGGAATATCTATGTTCAGATAGCTGATGCTACAGATTGAAAACACAAGCAATGGCAAGTTAACTCGCAGGCTCATATACAGCATGATCAAGGTCCACCAATGCAAAGTTTAAAAAGATCATTAATCAACCCATGATCGAATTGCACCACAAAGACACAGCAATGGATTCACACATAGACGAACACACCACAATGGAAGAGACATACAAATAACTTATCACCTACTGCATTAATTCAAACGTATTTGCTTCCTCTTGATTGTGTTTTCACGAAAATTCCAATTATGAAAAAAGGAAAAAGAAATGAAAGAATTACTGTGAGGTCCTAAGAAAGGAAGATAATTACTAAAAAATCCCGATGATAGATGAACACTTGAAAAATGTTGTCATTTCCTACACTGGAATTTGTCATTACAAACTGTTCAGTTGTCATGAAACTTTGTAGTAATTATCTTCTTTCCTTGGGACCTTACAGCAATTCTCCTAGAAACGGGAGAATTACTAAATACAGTTTACAGAAAGGTATATTGTTATAAATTAATTTCCTTAAGACGACTGGCATAATAAATAAAAGTTGTCCAATTATCAATTTTTCGATTTGGATGTGTATTAAACCTATGATTTAAAAATGACGGAGAAACTCGTAATCTTATTGAAATTATTACTGAAGGAACATACCTGTTTTGATGAAACTTCATATTCTTCTTTCCAACCAGCTTGAGCCTTCTCTAAGGATGAGACTTTTCTATATTTACTCTTCAATTCTGTCAGGTTCATCTCCCTGGCATCAGTAGAAAATAACAAGGGTGAACGAACAATCAACCTAAAAGGCTTAAGAAGACTAGATGGCTATTAAATCCATACCGATGTGACTCTCCAACTGGGGGACGAACTATCTTATGCATCCCGGAAGTGGAACTGGAAGATAATAAACAACAAAAATAACACCATCACTACGGAGGTCCTCCATGTTTTATGTGCGATGCAAAGGATGGGGGTGAATTAGGTGCATTAACAAAGACAACATTGCTAGAGAGGGAGAGAGCAGATGAAAGGAAGAATTCAAAATAACATCAAGATGGTTTAATCTAACATTTAAATCAATACCTGATTTGACAAATAATTTCATACAGAATTGTGGACAAATCAAATGGAAAAATTTCTTTTGATTCTAGTCAAAATGATTACTAAACCTATAACAACAGCTCACGTGCTTCATTCTTGTCCCCCACCTTAACCAAAGGGCAAAGATACTTCTTATCTAAATAAACTCCACAAGGGTTCAAAATAGGTAAAAATGAATTAAAATAACAGATATGAAAAGACCTTTCAAACGCCAAAATGAAATGACGTCGTCCCAACCATTCCCTCTTGGATTCATAGAAGCCATCATTAACTGAACCGAGCCCATCCTTTTGCTTTTCATTCAGCATGGTACTTGCAGTCTGACATTAAAAATAAGAAACAAATAAGAAAGATAAATTTATCCCAGTAAAGCATCACATTATTTGGATCATGTTGATAGGAACAAGCACCTCCCATGTGACCCCACGATCCAAGATAAATGTAAAGAGAACCGTTGAAGCTCCAGTGAGATTATCAACATGGACTGTCTGCAAGTGATAGCCCCAACCCCTTCTCCATGTTAGTAATAGAAAAGACTCAACTAATAACATGAGTGGATGAAAGAAGTCTAGCACAGCAAACCTTTGGAGCCCCTTGCAGTTCAACAACATTAGCTCTCAAGTCAAGAATGCCAGTATCAAGGTTACCTTCAATACGAGCATTCTGAACAAGAAGATCCAAGATACTCACAAATAACTCAAACAGCCTGTTAATATAGCATTTTTTTAGACAGTTGAACCAGACAATAAGAGTAAAAGCATTATATTTCTTAATACACAGAAGGCAGACCTATTCTGAATCTCAGGAGGTAGTCCCAAAAGCCGGTTGAGGAATCGGCCCACATCATGCATATCAGAATCAATAATACGGCCAGATAACTTTCCAAAATCTCTACCATTGCCTACAAACATAGAAAGCAGAAGGTTGAATTACGATTAGATGACTATGAATGTAATGTGGCATCAAAAAATATACTCCTGCAATCAACAACCATCCATGAGCTAGTTGGAAAATATTCAATTATTTTAGAATCATTCAACATAACAGCATGACAAACGAGGGGAACAAGATTGAGGAAAAAAAGAGGATTACCAAGCGTCGTGTCCCTAACTATTCCAACAGACACAAGAGCAGCTTTTGCTTTAATAATAAAGTCCTGAATTGTGTCTGGTCTGTCAGAAATGCATCCTGGTGGTACAACAGGCAGAGGATCCTGAAAACAATTTTTGTCAGTTTATGCACTTAAGCCAATCTACCAATATGCAGATTCTTCATTTGCTAAGAAATCATGAAACCTGCTCCATTATTCCTTTGTACATAATCACTAGAGCTCTCTTTCCATAAGCACTGTCATAATTGTACGCACTCAAGGAAGGTCCAGCCCTGTATCAGATCCATCCATATAGTGAGGAACATCACAAAATACGCCAAGAATCATTCGTGTCAGCTCATAAACAGAAGATAGAAGAACCCAACTTACCTGCGGTCCCCTTGAGTCAGAGCACCAAGAGATTCTAATCTCTTGGCAACAATTGATGCAAACCGCCTTTCTCCTCCAAGATTAGTAAAGAGTAACCTGCAGAGGATATGCAACGTCTAAGGTAGGTAAGACAGGCGCTGCATCAGGCTAGAGCTCCAGTGACAAGTTTCATGGTGATCATTTTAAATCAGCCCCACGGTGCTTATATATTTTCTTAGTTTTTAAAAATTCTCATGTGACTAGGTTACAATTTACAACAAAAATCTTTAGCCCAATCCAGACAGCTAACATTTCTTAGGCGCCAAATATCTGTATAAACATAAGACACACACGAACATGGAGTACAGCAAGACAAGCAACTTAAGGAGACAATTCAATGACATTCTCCCCTTCCTTTTTCTAAAAACATTGAAGGCAACATCGAAATCATGTGTTAAGGAAATACTGACACCATGGAAATATCAGGAAACCAAGCACCAAAGGAAGCAAACAAATACGTCTGTGCATTTAAAGCCTTTAAACCCTGTTTATCACAAAAAACACAGCAAAGAGAACATTGCAAAACTCATCCAGACTCAGCCCATCCTTTAAATGCCAAACCTTAAATATCTAGTCATCAACAAACCCAAAACAGTAGAACAGACCATCTTTCCAAACATCAAAAATAGATTAAATCACAAAAACCAGCACACCAGACAACGTAAAATTGAATCTCTATGTTTCTGAACTTCTCAAACACTAAAAGAATTTACCAAGAGCAAACCTCTATGGGTATTCTCACACGCACCAAGTTGGTAGCACTAATCCTTTTTACAGAATCCTAAATCCTCGAAGGAGCTTTACAATTTTTCATAAACTTATCATATCTATCATTCAAGCTGGCCCATGCGTATTGAAAGCATGTGAACCCATGCTTCACTAGTCCTCTTAAAAAGTGATAATTACAGGCCCCAAAACAATGAACTATTTAAGCATACTCCCTCAATGTTTGTACTTACTACAGTTATTTATGTATGTGCATGGGTATATAAAGTGAACAACTACAAAATTTATCTAAATCCATAGTGCCAAATAACCTGTACTCTGGGGCCGAAGCTTGATTCGACCTGTGAGTTCTTCCAAACTGCTGAATTGCACGATCAGCACTCCATGGAAGTTCTAGAGTTAGATGAACTCTTCTTTTCTGTCATTCGAAGGCAAAGAAAGAACCCAGAGTGTGAATCCAGAACAACCAATGAAGAATTAGAGTAATATCTAAAGTCCAGTTGAGATTAAGATGTCTGTAACATCAGAACAAAAGGGCAAACAAAGCCACCAATAAATGAGATGAAAACATTTTCCAATTAGTTTGATGTACCTGATTTATGGCTCTTTTATCTGCCTGCAATGAAACACCAGCAGATCCAGCTTCAGATATAATAGCAACTAACTTCTTACCATCCATAAAGAGCTGCTTCTCGTGCATGTTGACCATCTCCATTGTAACATCCTTTCTAATAGAATTAAGTGGCAATTTAGTTATTACTAAATCTACTTTATAAGTAGAATAGGAAAACAGGCCACAACTCACGTATTTCGAGCTTGATAGGTAACACCTTTCCCACTAGGGGCCCTCACAAGCATGCCTCTCCTTCCTGTAATTTCTGCAACTTTGTCAGGTCCTCCTAGCTGCATATTTAATACAATTATAGCAACCAGAGGGGAGAAATAGATAACATCAATTTAACAACCAATCCACTAATCTGCATCATTTCAACAGAAATCTATCCTATCTCCCCAATCTGTAGACAGTAGCTAGGGTGTTTGGAAGCAATGAAAAAAGATTACAGCACGAGATAATAACAGACATTTCTTGTTTCTGCAGGATTGTGGTTTCTTCTGTTAATGCAAAACGCAAGATAAGTGTTTAGAATAAAATTATTATTACATCCTCCCTGTAGGTAGCACCTAATGGTTTTTGTAGGGAGGCCACCACTTGTGGACTTACAGATGCTCTGGACGTGTCTTCTAAGCTAAATTGTTTATATTTTCTCCCCTTGGTTTTGGGATTATTACTTGCCCTCGATTACTGTATTGTTTTCTCTTCTCATCAATAAATTCCTCTCTAACCAAGAATAAAGAGACGTGTTTATTCTGCAAAATGAGGATAAGGAATTGTTCTTGAAGATTTTGCTGCGAAGAATGTAGACATTTTTCCTAGTGAGTTGCAGCATTTACAACTAGTGTTAGGGAGGGTAGTTAGTTTTGGCTCCATACATTAGATCTGCTGAAGGCAACCAGAGTGTTGGGCTGCAAAATTGTTCAAACACCAACGGAATTCTGCTGCAAATTTGAATTGAAGGAAGATTTGGTTCCCGCCAACAAATAAATGAACCAAAAACGGGTAGGGAAGCTGATATACTCTCTCATACGAGACTAGCTATTTCCATTCCAGTACATGTAGTTAGTCAGCTCTCACTCTGGGGGAAAAAGTTGGTTCTTGAACGATCCAAGTGAAAAGCATTTGGAAGCAGTGTACAGAACTGAGGTATCAGAATTTGCTCTGAGCAGGGACTCTACTTCAGATAAGGAATCCAGAGGAGTATATAAGCATATGTTGATGCTGATTGGAGAGGTTTCATCACTGACAGATGCTCTACCACTGGGTTTCATACTTATCTGTGGGGAAATTTAGTGACTTGGAGGAGTAAGAAACAACAAGTGGTAGCATGTAGCAGTGCAGGAGCTAATTCCATGCATTAGCACTTGGTATTTGAGGCTATTATGTGGCTATCCAGATTGCTGCAGAATTAAAAATCAAGTTTGAAGGGCCTATGAAGCTTCTGTGTGATGATGTGGCAACCATTGAAATAGACAAAAATCAGATCCATCATGATAGGACAAAGCACGTGGAGAAAGACAGAAATTCTATCAAGGAAAAGATGAACTCTAGCATTATAGAAGTGTCATATGCACCGACAAACAGCCAAACAGCTGTTATAGTAAACAATGAAGATTTTTCAAGAACTAAGTGACAATTTGGGAATGATTAACATCTACTCAATAACTTGAGGCGGTGTTAGAAGTGGCAAATGTTATTCTCATAGTTTTTGAGAACTAAGTAGCAAGTTGGGAATTATTAACTTCTATTTGGAAGTGGCAAACGTTCTTCTTTTTTGTTATGATCTATTTATTATTTATCTCCTTTGGTTTCTTTTTGGTTAGTTTGTTGGGCTCGGCCCTTTTATCTGTTTGTTAGTATTCATTGTATTTTATGAGTAGTTAGTAGAATAAAATCGGGTTATACAAATTTACATAGATGTGATTTTCTCAATCAAATTCTTGGAGATTTTCCGCTAGCAGGAAGGCTTGTTGCCTCATTGTTATGTATTTAAGAAACCCTAGCTGAATGAAATATACTATGCGACTGAGCTCACAAAGCTCTCAGCCAACATTTTCCTCAAATTAAAAAACGATCCACATTATGAGCAGATCACAGCTAGCTGATGAGCAAGTTATCCACACCAAGTAATATATTTATCTGTTTAATAGAAGAAATTTTATTACAGAAGAGGAGAGGAAAAAAAAAACTTAGCAAAATATTGACACTCGCCACCCATCTGCATATCGAACAATCAAATTTAACCATATTAATCACTAACGGAAGCCTATTCTTATCCAGTTTGATGCACAAAAGTGTAGATGATAGCATGAAACATAGCCACGAATATGAAGACAAAGAATGTTATCTTCAAACACAAACTCTATCATTCAATCACAAATATTAGAACAAAAGTAGTTGCCCGATCATCAACATATGCATCATCAACAATAATTTATTTTGCCAGCATACATGGATAAAACAGTTAGTACAAGAAAGGCAGATAACTTCCACTCCAAATGCAACAATCTGCAGTTGTTTAAACTAGGAAAAAACAAATAATAACATGAACGACACCACTTGCTTTATTCTAGAATTATTAAGTCAACCTTTCAACATGCCCAATGGTCCAAACTCTAAGTATAAACAAGGCAATTTAGTTTCTCCACAACAAACAGAAAGCCAGCATATATCTATATCATTCCTAACCACCCGAACATTCAGTGTTTGGATCCGTCTTGGCCCACAAGCCTCAATACATAAGCTGGAAATCCGGAAAGCTGCTCATGGTGCATAATTGTGAACATGCTTCAGCAAGTATATTTTAAGTAAATGCTCTTTGCTATTTTCTAACTTACAGGGTTGCCAATGACCAATAATTAGGCTTTGATATGCAATTCTTTTGGACAATAACTGTATCAAAACAAATGCCCAAGAAAAGGAAGTAGTGCATTCTGAGAGGAAGGTGGATATAAGATTAAACATGTTCTGCAAAGCAAGAAGTCAGTCAGTCAATCAATCAACACGCAATGTCTACCTGATCAGTAATATCATCCAGGGGATTATTTGGAAGATCCAATGAACGGATAATCTCTATAATTTTTGTCTTACGCTCCAAAGCTGCATCGTACCTGTATAAATTCATAATGCATCAATCATTGTCTCGTTTCTCTTGTCTACCTTTTTCATCTTTTAGTCAACGCAATGCCTTGTGATTTAATCGTTGTGAACAGTATCAGAATATAAAGATATTTGATACCATTACTTGAACTCAAGAAGAAATTCATCTGTAATTGTGGTGCACCTTTGATTTTGTGCATTGACCAAACATATAGAAACAGGCAGTTTGATAGGCAAATAAAGCATTGCCACTTATGAGATGCTAATCTAAAAATCCAAAATTAACTTCTAGTTCCCATTGGTCTTATGCACATCTATTTTGATGCACCATGTGTGCCCAAGAATTCCAACAGCCAGACCCACAAACCTCAAAAGAAAAATGGATAAATATCAACCTTTTCTGGAGTTCATCTATGTAGGCTTGTCTTTTTTGAAGATATTCATCCGTTTTTTCCTTGCACAAATGACATGACCATTCTTCGGGCACTAAATCATTAATTGGTGGAACCAAGCATGCTGAATGGACAAATTTACCACAGCAGGAACACTTGAGCAATGCTTTACTTTCCTGCCAGCAAAAAATAACAAGCAATCTCACCAATTTCTGGCATCAAAACAGTTTAATGACAAATATAGATAAAACAACCGAAGACTACCTCTTCCATATTGCAAATCTCGCATATCTGAAACTCATCATCAGAATCAGTAGATTCAACAGCAGAATCAGCTGCATACCCAGTCAGAATAATTAAAATTGAGAGCAGGTATCAAATTTGTCTTCCAACCCTATCATGTTTCACGCATCATATTTTCATAAAGATGCCACAAAGAACAAAAAATGTAGAATTTTATCTACTTAGATAGAAAGCTTTAAGAGAGAAAAAAATGTTAACAAATGAAGAGGATTATGTAGCCTATTAAAACAAGTATCAAAACAGGAGAGCAACAAGCAAAGGAAAAAGAAAGTCAAACATGCAGCACTGCCCAGTCCCTTCTCAAACCCCAAAAAAAAAAACTCCCTTAAATAATCCTTGAGCTCAACACCAAAGAGACGTTGCCGAAAAAAGATCATTATCCATAGGTCATTTTGAGACAATGAAACACCCCTAGAATTACTAGCAATCAGCCATAGCCATATATCGAAATTAGTCCACATGCATTGGAAGAATGACACAGAACCAATGGAAGATACACAAGATTCAAAAAGGCTCACTTTCGGATTCTTCATCACTCTCAGCATCACTAGGAGGCCGCCAAGACCACTTAGCTACTTTTCTAACCCTTCCTTTTACAGATACACCAGGAGTTGCAGAGTGCCTTTTCCTCTGGAGCTCCTTTACACCATCCTCCCCTGTGATTGAAACAAATAAGAACATCTAAATGCATACCAATGTGATATATGAGAAGCATTAAGCAAAATAAGGCACTAAAATACCTGGAAGAAGTTCAGGCTTTTCTGGCAATGGATAATTTTCTTCCACAAATTTTAGCAGTAGTTCTCGAGGACCAGAAACAAAATCATCAAGTTCAGAACCCTATGAAAAATAGAAAATAAAAATCAAATAACAAGGTCAATATGATAAAGACATGCTTTATATGAAAATAAAGCAGAACCAAAATACACACATATTTTGTAACAGCCTCTTCCGTCCTTGCTTCTCCAGTGCTCTGAAGGCCAATGACAACACATTTATCTTCCAGCAATGCTTGCTTTGCCAGTCTCACAGCAGCAGGGACTTTGGCAGACATACACATATGTCTAAAAAAGCGCTACGGCATTATAATGCAAAGTAGGAAAAAGAAGAATCAGTAAATTGTTCATTACACATCCCACAGACATTATAAACGTATCTTTAGGCTGTACTACAGTAGCACCAATACAAGATCAGATACGGTGATACCTGATGGCTTGCCCAGTATAATCTCCATAACTGACTAGAACTAGGTTTCTCATTATTTAGGAAGGCGCTAGCTGACATCAATTCCACTCGCAATTCTGCCCAAAATTCTGCTGCCTTTTTATACATATCCTAAGAAATTAATACAAATTAAAAGATCATGAGATATAATAAAAGACGGGATAATAATATGAGGTATTCACAACTATGCATTCCATAATAAGATGTAAACACTATGTTGCGACAAGATCATTCAAAGACAGACGGAGACGCATCTCCACTTTGTAAATCACTAATGCCTGTTTCTTATTATTTACATTTGCATGACTGAAAACCTCATTATCGGGCTCCAATGCAAAATAAGCAGTTTCTCGGCATTTCAAAGTCTCAAACAATCAATGTCATCATTGATTTTTCATTTTAAAAAGTAACGGGGGAAAAGAAGATAGAAGATCTACACATGTTTAACACAAGAACTAAGACAAAAGGCAAAAAAATCACAAAGTACAAAAGCAATTCAAAATAATCACATCCATAATTCAACATGTTCCCAATATCTTCTGCATAAAATGTCGATATCTTTATAAAGGCATTTCCATGCTAAAAAACCAACGGGTAACCAAAATAATAATAATAATAATAATGATGATGATCATAATAAAGAGTTTATGCCATTTCAAATCTATTAATGGACGGCTTGTGCAACCAGGTACCCTGCTATGCTCAGCTTACTTAATACCCAAGCTTACTTTAGACGATATCAAAAAATGCTAAGTAAATATCCATAGTTATTTCTTGTGTGAGAAAATAACCCGTTGCAAATGGGGAATAATTTGTGAAAAAAAACAGATCAGATTTCTTACCATCATTTCATCTTCTAATGGTGCTTCAATAACTTCAAACTCAACACCCCTGTAGCTAAGTGTACGACATAAATACATCCCCCTGAAATGAGAAAAACGAGGCAAAAGAATAAATCCTTAATAAACACAAAAGTATAAGGCTGAGGATGCAGGCGTATGTGGATATATTATAACCTTGCTTTCATGTCCATTGCAACTAGTTCAAGCGCTCCAACACCCCCTCTATCAAGAGCACCTACATGCATGAATTCCTCATAAGAATTTGTTTCTTTTAAATATTAGCAGGAAGTCTCTCAGAAGAAGTTACAATTATTATAGAAAGAAGGAGAAATGTTTGGAACCCAGGTAAGAAACAAACTAATTCAGAAAAACATGATTATGTACACACTGATATTTTACAATGACAAAATAATATGTGGCATAAGTATCAAATATAAAACAAAATGATATAAGGCGACTTCCTTTTCAAGTTACCATTGCCAAATATCATAAAGTAGGATGCCTCTCCCTCAAAATCCTTTAATGAAAGAAGAAATTTAACTAGAAAGAGGAGAGTACAAGCTGTTCGAGGGTAAGATATCCCAACCATTAAATACAAGAAAATGCTCAAAACAGCACAAACTCTCAAATTCCCTGTCAAACTTAATTGTCCAAAAGAGTTTACTAGTTAACTTCTTCAAATTAAATGAGAAGTCAATATGAGGAAAAATGCACAGAGAACCAAAGAGAGAGGGCAGCGGATCCTTCAAAAAATGAAAAAATAAATAAATAAAACAAGCCATGCTCTTGGTAAGAGCCTCCATTCTCTTTCGAGATCCTCAAGCGCTTTTGAATCCTTTTGCATATCCAAAATAGAGGTTCCCTAACATAAACTCAAGCCATATGCACCGTTCTATTCCTCAGCCATAACCAATTTAAAGGTGAAGAAATGCCCCTGAACCGCAAGATTCAAGTATTCCTCTCCATCCAAAACAAACAACAAAATCCAATAACCTATGCACTTCCTCAGTGTTTTGTCTTCCTTTTTATCATGAATTCCTTTAAATCTAACTAGATTTCTTCAAGGCATCCAAGGTATGACAACACAGCCAACTTTCACCATCAATACAAGCAAGGTTATCGAGGATAACACACTGAATGACAGTAAAGAAACAAATGGGGCAAAGATAGGACAGTTTGCATTGCATATGTTGAAATATTGGTCTTGATTAGTCAACAACTTATTAGGTTAGTCAACATAACATAAAAAAGTTATGGTGGAGATTTAATCTTTAATCTTAATTGTTTGGAAACTATAGGGGTTGCTTCATATAACCTATAAGAACTAAATTAATAAAAAATTCAGGTAAATCATAAGCACCACATAATTAATTTTTCCCATATCCAATTCAAACTTACTGCTTTATTGTTGAAATTGAAATCAATATGAAATAGTGAAAGTATAAGGAGTAATGAATAGTGCTGCTTATCTTAGAGTTTGCGCGAATGCACAAGGCCTACTCTAGTAAATTATAAACACCAACTGATTAATTTTCCCCGTATCCAACTGACGCTCACTACTTTATTATTGAACTCGAAACTTCTAAAAATGACAGGATCAACTAGAGTTGCGAACAGTTAAAAAAAAAAAAACTATTATGGATTGAAGAATTTAACAACACTAAAAGATTATCAAAAAAGAAAGGAAAAGGGAAACCAAATACCAGGAAACCAAGACCACTAGCTATAACATATTCTGGAAGGGAAAAAAAATAAAAGACAAAACATCACCTAGAAAATCACGGAAATCAATAAAAGAAGTCCCAGGTCCCCAAAGACCAAGTCGAACCATATAACCCATATTGCGAGGCTCAGATGCACCAGTAGCTGAGCAATAGACAACACGGGCATCAGGTAGTCGATCCTGAAAATTTGATTGCAACTGGTCAGAAGAAAACTCATTTATTATCCATCTTTTCAATGCTGATTATTTCAAGATATCTTGACCATATGAAAAAATTAATTATAGCTGGAAACAACCCATAAATAACAGCTTGACAAAATGGTCTATGCCAAAGTTGTCAAAAAGAAATGCAATCACTGGTGCAGGACTATCGTTCCAGACCACGCATGCCATGTAAGGCCAACGAAGTTTCCAAAAAGTTGAGCATTAAAGCTAGCAAAAAAAAAAAAAAAAAAAGGAGACAACAAAGTCCTTCCCATGGTTTCCTAACCATGTCAACATAAAATTGAAATTGTATCAATAGAAGAAAAGGTAACATGTGGGCTTTTCCTTTTGGGTTAAAATGAAAACGTGGCTAGAAACATGTTGGTTTTTTTTTTTTGGTTAAAATGAAAATGTGGCTATTATTTCAAGAGATTTATAATGAACAAACCTGAATATCAACCACTGCTTCACCAGTTCGTGTTGGCTGACTACCAGATTCAGGAACCAAATTTTTAGCTTTGTGACACTACAGTGAAGAAACAGACCCTTAGCAAGAAAAGGGGAAAAACATAAAAGAATCCAAAACCTATTTGATTTATCACTTAATCAAAAATTAGAAACAATTGACATTACAAAATATTTCCTTAGGAAAGATTCCATGCCTCATCAAAAATGACAAGACCATCAAATCCTGTTCCACACCACTGCACAAGCTGTTGAAGACGAGAACGACCCTTCTCTGATGATGCTATGAGGCTATTGTATGTCAAGAAAATAACTCCCTCCCTGACCCCAACAGACTTCGAATCAAGCTTAGAATAAGGCAGTTTGTTCAAAGCATGCACTGGATAGATGAAAAAAAAAGAAAAAGATACTTAAATGCATAATAATGTTTTTCTTCCAATTGTAAGCATGCACAGTACAGGTGAAAAAAAATTCCTTTGTGGAGCCTACAATAAATAAAAGCGTTAAAAGTAAATTACAAAAGAACACTTCCCAAAGGAAGATGGTAAATCATCTGAAATACATTAGGCAATATTATAATTTCTTCATCTATAGACTTGTAATACATAGGAAACTAAAGGGGTATATAGGAACAAATTGACATGCTAATTTCACTTTTCCTCAACAAGGGCCACAAAGTCAGAAGAGTATAACTGATTCTGAGATTTTATTTTTTTTGGCTTTCTTTTTGGAAATTAAATTCACTCAAAATGTTGGGTGATTTATCCTTTTTTTCTCTTGGCTGCTTCTCTGACAGCCCTCCTTGCATTGTGACTTGTGTCATGATCATGTCACTAATAACGTGATTAGATTCAATCACAACTTAATGACATGGCTGTCATCTAATCACAGCTTAATGACGTGATCCTCATACTGACTAAGCCTTAACAGATATTTTTCCGTTTGTGGCCTAAATCCATATATATTCCTCTTTATGTCTTAAAAAAAATTCAAAACAGAATTCTCAGTTCATCTCACCTCTCCTTCTCTCCTAATTCCTAAAGCATCATTAAAGGCATTTTTACTTAGAAATTAGGTTACAACTTAGTTTTAATAATTTCAACTCTGCTACAGAAAGCTCGTGACTTTTTCCTTCAATAGCTACTATGAGATGTTATCAAAATTATAATTTTCAACGTAAGTACTAATTTTACATGCAGAAAGTTATCCATACCTTTTTTAAAACTATCATAAATTAAGTTTACCATAATGTTCAAAACAAGTCATACTTCAGGGCCTTGGGTCTTTCACAATAATACGAGTCCCTAGGAATAGCTAACTTACATTCTCAGTCCCTATCAATAATTTCCCCAAAATAAAATGACCCAAGTTTAAATTTACCAATAGTATCTGCATGCACTAACAACTATACCTTCAATGCAAGTTGCACCAACATCATCCAAGTCTCTTCTGGCATCAAACTTCAAGTCAGAACCAACAGAAATCCACCTGTGTAAGATCATTGGAAACATGGCAAAATATCAAACTACCGAACTCATGCTATATAGCCCAATATCATATCAAAATAAATTTCAAAAAAAAAAAAAAAAAGTAAATGTGCATTATGGAGGAAGGGTAGATGAATCTGCATCCCTAGGAGCTACTGTTTATCACAACACACACACACCAAAAAAATAATCAAACAAACATGAAAAACCGCATATGGAGACTGTCATGGTGTGACCAAAACTTACAGTGCTTTTCTCCTTCCATGGTTCCAGTTCTCCCATATTAGCCCTGCAATTGTTCGACCCTTACCAACACCAGCTCCATCCCCAATAAAGAATCCTGCCCTAGCACTGTTGGGTAAGTGCTGTAGATGTCTCTGTCATAGAAAACAACGTCATACACATGAAATCCAATATAACATTAGTTATTATCAATTATGTCAACAAAGGAACCTGACAAGCATAGACCAATGTCTCAATTTGTAAGCATGACAAGGCCTTTGAACTTTCCAAATCTTCTTTGATCTTTGGATCATAGGTAGGCTCAGGAGGCTGCACTGCAGACAAAGATGATGTTTCCACAACAGGGTCTGGGTGTGAAGGTCCAATAGATACTTTTGGTGGCCGCTGCATCATACAAATTCTAATACAGTGAAACGCATGTCCACAACTTGAAATAACAAACACAGTTAATTTGGCTAGGAAAAACTTCTAGCATATACTACTCTCGAAAGAAAAGTTTTAGAACTCACATAATCCATAAAGGTTTCTCCAACCAGGCCACCTTCATCTTCATCACGCTCCACTTCAACAGCTAACTAAAATATTTAGATGGGCAAAACAAAAGTATGAATGTGACCAGAACAGTAAAATATTCAAGCAACAGTTCTCAAATGAACATAAGTTGAAACTATAAGCCCGTGTATTGCTGGACTATGAAAGGCAATACCCAGAAAAGGGGAAATGGAAAATAAAACAGCCATATTTTGAGGTTCAAAATAATCAACACATAAAAGAATTGAGAAAACTAACCCAACATATGAGTCTCCAGTGACTGACTCCTTAACATTAATTAATTAAAAAATAAATAAATGAAAAAGAAACCCAGTGAACTTTTTACTGGAAGAAATGCTCCAAACTTCAAATAAACAAAGAACAAAAGTTTTCATCTTGCTGATGACTTCATACTCCTTGTAATCGTCAATGATTTACTGCTTTGCAAAAGTCACAGGTGATTTCCCAGCAACTCTCAAGGCAGAAACAGATGATGAGTACTTTCCAAACTCTTGCAGCAAGAAAGTACTACTATGTATTAATCCTACTGAGCATCGTTCACCGAACAAAATCACAGCCTTAGAAGGAATTTCGGCCTTCCAAGTCATATGATAGGTATTGAAAATGGAAGGGTTCCAGATTGAAAGTTGAAAAATTCAAAAGTGTCTTGGGTCCATATATGTAGATAAGGAGAAATGAAAACACAAAAAGGGGGTCACAACCATCTACATAGAACAGAAATAACGCCACATCTCTTCCGTACAAAATGCCCACAATTTTTTTGAGAAAGGAAGCTAACAATTTGAATTCAGTAGTTTTTTCAGGGATGTTGGCCCTTCCCTACTAAAACCACAATATCTCAGCATTTGGTCTCCAGGCAATGACAAAGAACAGAAGATTATACTCGGATAGCAGAGAAAGACTAAAAGGGATGGTTCTCTGATAACATGAATTCTGTTGGAACCTGCTCCTCAAATGCTCGGCTAGGCATCAATACAATACCTACTTTCCCCCCAAAATGATAAAATTCCACGCATATGATTGACCAAAGATATCTGTGAAACTAGAAGAACAACCGAAGGACAAAATTGGCACCCCGACAAGATGAGTCAATATCCCCATATTCTGTATCTACTCCGTCCAAGTAAAGCTAGTTCAGTAGCATCCTTCACTTATTAATGCTACTCCTTGTGAGTTACCTTCTGTAACTAACAATAAATGCTACTCCTACGCAATTAAGCCAGAATTAACCACTCTGCTCAGCACAAGATTCCACGGTTACCCAAATTAATTTTTCCCGGCTAAATAGCAACATAATTTTCGTTCACTAATTCATAAAATTGAAAGTCGATCAAAGTAGTTTTGCCAAGCCAGCAACATTAGAGCATTAAGAGTAATAGAATGGAACCAGACCTCGTTGACTTCTTCTGGAGGAGGCCCAGAAGGGAAGAACTGCTTGACCTTAGAGATATCAACGGCGAGGTCAACCCCACATTGCGGGCAAGCGAACCTTGCGAGGCCAGGAGGGACATTGAGGATAGCCTTGCAGCTAGCACAAGGAAGCTGGATCTTAGAGGGATCAATGCCGTGTGCCGGCACGTGAGACTGCTGCGACGACGGAAGAGGCAAGGGTGAGTAATGAGACGGTTTCTGGTGGGCCCTACCCATAAGCTCCGGGGGAAGCATCTGCGGCATTCGACAGGTTGGGCAAGCGAACTCCGTCAGCCCCGGCGCCACCGTCAGGATCATACGGCAACCAGCACAGCGCACTTGGACACCTTGTCCGACATGGGACGACGGCGGGGCCAACGGCGGCGGAGGCACCGATGGCTGAGTCATTGTGGGGAAGTTTGAGGGAATCAGTGAGATAGCCCCGAAGGTAGAGCCTCTCGTTGGAATTTGGGTGGGAAATTTTGGGGGTTCGGAGAAGAGGAAACGTTCTAAGAGGCTATTGTCGGAGTGATTTTGGTTTGTTTGGCGGGCAAGGACTTCCACACACACTCTGTCTCGCGCTCCTCACTCCCCTCTCCCTTCTCTTCCCTTCTGAATTCTCAATTTCTGATCGTTTTTTGTTTCTGGTGAAATGAAAAGCCCAAATGACCTTCCCAAACTAAGCCTGAGCCGAGCGGAACCTATTTTGCGTTTTTGGGCCTTTCTCTTTCTGGCTTCCCATCTGGGATATGTCGGCGTGATCAACGGTCTAATTATGAATGTAGCCTACAAGGGTCGGGTCCGACTGGTTGATAAGGGGAAGGCAAAGCGCCGCGTACCCGCCAGGTCCTGGGCTCGATACCTGCGAGGCACCCTGGGATTAGTCTGGCACGTTGTGCTGGGATACCCTGAGGCAGCGATCACATCCTACTCAAAAAAAAAAAAAAAAATGTAGTTGCACCCTTTTCCCTTATAATCTAAATTAATTTAATTTATCAGGAAAAAAAAATATGGTTTAATTTAAAAAACTCGTATTTACTATCTGACAGTATTTTAAATAAAAAAATTTGAACACCTATGCTTAGCAACAAAAAAATATAATTTAATTTAATTATCTAAATATAATCCCTTCAACAGCATAAATATATAACCCATGTGTCCATATGTAATAAAATCTAGCTAAAAATTTTTTATCATTATTCTCCATGCTTAGAGAGATTAATTTTTTATATTGATGGAACATGCCCATGGTATAGCCGAAAATATTAGTTCGAACATGTTTTATTATAATTCATAATTTTATAAGGGAAATATGGACGCCTTAGTTTTACCCCATGATAACACTGTCTCCCAATCCACCTCACTGATTTCAATTTCTCAAGTTTCAATCACTTAAATAACGGATCTTTGCACTTTCAAAAAAACTAATATCTCAAATATATGGATTAATATATGAAATGGCTTAGACTTAAAAAAAAAACTGAGTTGTATGATATCGAGTTAAAATTTAAATACTGAGTTATAATCAAATTATCAAATTAAAATTATAGAAACAATGTAATTAATTTTTTTTAATTGGTAAATAAAAGTTTTCATAATCCACGCATCAGACTGGATTCCCTGCTGGCATAGCATAACAGGTATTATGCGCTAGACAATACAGTTTAACAAAAGAATTAAATAAATTAATGACATTTGATTAAATTTTACCCCGTTAGTTTTTATTTATAACATTATTATGATCATAATTATAGTTATAGTTCTTTCGGAGAATTAGAGGATATATAATTCTTATATGAGCAAAAAATCATATAATTTACTTAGCGTTATACTACTTCCGATCCTAAATATAAGAACTAGTTGACTGATTTGAGTAAATTAAATAAATAAGTTAAGTTAATTATTTGTAATAAATAGGTATTATTTTTTCTAAAATATCCTTACTAATCAAGTATATTGGTTAGAACTATTATCATTAAATAACTACCTTAAGAAAAAAATATATAAAAGAAAAAATGAATTGGGATTTTATATTTAGTTAAAAGTTAGATTTGAGTTGACCTGCTTAGGTCGAGGTAGGGGTGTTCATAGTCGGCCCGTCCTGAAATTTTATGGAACAGGACAAACCGAAACGGCACAAAAATAAAAGCGGGACACGGGATGAGGTCGTCTCGTCCCGATATGTATATTTTTTTTAAAATATTTTATATTATATTTATTATGGGTTATATTTAGAAGGCCCATAGTATTTCCAAAAGGCCCATAACATTTTTATAAGGCCCACAGTGTTTTTTATAAGGCCCATAGCTTTTTTTTAAAGGCCCAGAGCATTTTTTTAAAAAAAAGTACTGGGACGTCCCGGTCCCGTCCCATCCTGGTCGAGACTGGAACAATATGGGACAAGACGAGACACAGGACAAATTTCTTGTCCTGTTACTATTCATCGGGACGGGACCAGGACAGGCCCATCCCATCCTGTGAACAGCCCTAAGTCGAGCCGCGCATCGAAAATCCACGCGGAAACATTTCAGAGACTCGACGTCTGAAGTTATGTCACTCATGATCAGACTTTTTTGGGTTTTCATTTTGATCAATTTATTTACAATGGTTATAATTCAAAATAAGTTGGTGGTTGAGCCATTTAAGATCGCTTGTATACTATTTTATATTTACAGTCTTAATTAACGTGTTTTTCATTTCCAATTTTTTCCATGTGACTGTCATATTTTGAACTTTAAGAGAAGAGGCGAGACATGCTGGGAGAGGAACGCTTGGAAGCACCGAACGCTTGGATCAATAAGATGGGAGGTTGTTTGAACCTGAAAATGTAGCATTATAGGTGGTAGAGCTGTCACCCCCTAAAAATGTTCTCTCTCTTCTTCTTTTTTTCTTTTGGTTTGGTTAGGCATAACAAGTACCCTTTAAAAATACAATCGGACACTTTATACGGGTATTTCTCTTAATGAGAATTTTAATATTGGTTTATCATATTATGAAAAAATAATCATTCTTATTAGACTCAACTTTCATTGTTTTTTCCAGAAAGGTTCTCATATAAAATAAATATAAATGAGTATAGGCTTGTAGAATTTTTTTTTTAATACAAAATAATTTATGTGAGTTGAATCCCGAGACTCACAAGGCCAGCATATGCCTCTGAACTCAAAAAATACATTTACAAAAATACTTACAAGGACTCATAAAATTCTTAAAAAACAGGCGACTGAACTAGTTAAAATATGCGTGGAATGGGTCTTTTTGACCAACTCCTGCAACATTGGAAGAGTGGAGTAGGTGAAATGGGACCACAAAATGTTAATATCTAGATGCTTGACAAGGCCCACTTATCGTCCCCTAATCCTCTTTTGTCAATTATTGTTGGCATTTTTTTTCATATCGATATATAAAATAAATCTAAATTAGTCCATGCTCATAGAATTCTTTTTTTTATATAAAAAAATTGCTGTGAGTTGGATCCTGAGGCTCACTCGAGTCAAAACATGTTTCTAGGTCTAAAAAGCATTTACAAAAATACTTAAACTCATAAAATTCTTTAAAAAAAAAGGCGAGTGAACTAGTTAGAAAAAAATGCGTGGAATGAATCCTTTCGGCTCATTCCTGTAACATTGGAAGAGAGTAGGTGAAATGGGCCCACAAAATGTTAATACCGAGTTGCTAGACAAAGGCCCACTTATTGTCCCCTAATCCTCTTTTGTCAATTATTGTTGCCATTTTTCTTTTCATATCGACATACCTTCTCTGATTTTTAAGAGCTGATTATTAGTTAAATTTAATCATAAATATGACAAAAAAATTTATTTTATTTTTCATATTTATTATTTTTTAAATTAATTTATTTAACTTATAAATTAAACATATGGTCTAATATTATATAAAGATAATTTAAGAAGATCATATTTCATTTATTATAAATAGTTAATTTATTTGACTTTCTTAGTTTATTCAAATTAAATAAGGAGCTTGTATCTGAGGGATCCAGAGAAATGGGTATCTAGGTATTATTAAGTCATATTTGGATATTCAATTAAAGTTGTGAAGATAATTTAGATTTGCAGGGATTGACAGAAACTTTCCATAACACACCCACAAACTTATAGATTTTACCCGCCAAGTGTGATAATTAGTCCGCCCTTATAGGGCGCAATACTTTAATCATTTACTGCGCAAGATGAATATGTTCAATAACTTCGTATGTATTAGCCAAAATGGCTATTGTTGGATTGAGAGACTTATCTATGAAAGCATTCCCAAGGACCCTGAATCTCTTACGTTGAAACTGTCCAAAATCAAGGATTTTTAACTTGTCTGAATCTGCTTAGTATTGGAAAAAACGTATTACATAAATCGAGATAAAACTCATTATACTTATTCCGTATTCTGTATTTAACAATTAAAAAACTGCTTCCTCTAAACTGTTCTAAATAGGCTTTTAATCTCTTTATACCCTTTTTTGTTGTTTCATGTTTATTACTCTTTCGGTCCTGTTTATAAGGTATTTCTAGTATGTTTCACACAAAACAAGAAAAGCTTTAAATTTTATTAATTCTCATTTAAAATTTAATAACTTTCCAACTTTATCCCTATTTAATATATATTTTATACCTGATGTAAATAAAGTTAACATAATAATAATGGGGGGCAAAATTATACATTGATATAAAAAATTTCTCTTAGTGCCTTATAAATAGGACTAAAAAAAAATCTCCTCTCTCTCTATCTTCTTGAAACTCATTTTCTTCTTGTATGTCATGAATTCCCCATACAACTAATCTTTTTTCGGTGTCTTGTATGATGGCGGGGGAGAGCATGCTCCATACCATATTATCAGATTTTGCTGTTTCTCTTTGTAATATTTCATAAACTCGCGGCTTTCGTATTTTTCAGGATTAAAGGTTACTTTTGTTTGGGAAGTAGTTGCAAAGGATTTTTTTTTTTAATGATCAGAGCGGCATTTTCCCTGTCATTATTAAGAAGACGAAACTTATGGATATTAAGAAAATTACTTAAATAATTATTTGTTACAAATTTTTGTTGGTCTCTCTAAACTATTATTTTTAATCATGCCAATTAAATTATTAGGATATGAAAAACCTTTTACAACTAATAAGAATATTTTGAGATAAAAATGAGAAACAAAATATATTAAAGTCTTATATTTATGATAAAATCTAACTTATAATTAGATCTTATATTAAGAAACGAGTATAATATGTATGTATATATATGGTGTTGAAGCGTGGGTGGGTATGCTATCATTATCAAGAAGAGAAAATGACTGGAGATGATGACTGAACTAAAATGTGGAAAAGCATTATTAAACGATAAGGAAACATGCTCACACCTTGAGAGACACACTTCAGTGAGGTCTGTAAAAAGTCAATAATATGTCCAATGCGACCGACGTAATTACTTAATTATTTAGATTAGCTTATTTTTGTAAAACGCAGTGTTTTTCTAGTGAAAATAAATAGACACTAAATGGGAAAAAGGGGACATATGCCCCTTTGAGTTTAAGGGTCTGTTTGGCTAAATGAGAGGAAGAGGAAATCTTAATGGAAGGAAGAGGAAGAGAGGATAGTGAAAGGATTTTAATATTACGTTATTTAGATTTATAAAAAAAGAGAAGAGGGAAGGAGTTGTAATATTACCTTGTTTGGTTCATGAGGGGAGAGGAGGGAAAAATATTTTAACATGAACAATTTGCTGTTATTTTATTTAAGATTATTTTTTCCAATTTTATAGAATGGTTAATAAAATAGAATTGTAAATAACATTTAATATATTGAGCAATACTTATGCCAAAATTCTAATATTCTCTAAAGCATAATATTATTAAAAAGAAGACTGAAGCAATGTTCATCCACAACTTGTACTGTATCCCATTTTTAAACGAAATATTTGGTCATGTAAAGGAAAGAGTAGCGTTTGAGACAAAAAGAAAAGAATTTAGAGTATTATATGAATGTTAAAAATAAATATAAACATAATAATCATGGTAAAATATTGTCCTTTTCCCTCTAAATCCTTCTAATTTTTTAGGGGAGGTGGAAAATTTTTTAAAATTTGCTATCTTCTCCTAGAATTTATGTGTTACTAAACAAGAAAAAAAAATCAAAATCCTTCCTCTTTCCCCCTCCTCTCATACCAAACGCATCCTAAAAGTCAATATTATTATTTTAACGGTTAATATTAGTATTTTTAATGATATGGGATAACAGTGTCACGGGTTTAAATTTTTCCTAGATAAAGTCACACCCCAACCCTTGAAAAAAGAATCACTGATCTTTGACAAGACAATCTTTAAGCTATATGGATAAGGCCCTGGCCAAGGTGACGATATGGAAGTCACGTGATCTTAAGATGATGCTGGCATGTCTTTCTAATTTTATACATGCTAAGCTTTATTCATGTCTTTCTAATATTACCTCATTGCAATTCATTTGCAAAAATTTATCTAATATTTTTTGGTTATAATTTCATTCCACTCCATCCATATCCTTTCTAATAACCACATGAGTTTACCTTTTGGCATAATGTTTGGCGTGTCCGTGGGTCAAAGGTTAAATTTCCCATGTTGTGTGATGTTGACTCATGTAATAAAAAGAATAGCAGCTCAGCTAGCTTTTACAATCTGGATGAAGTATAAGGAAGGCATCACATTACTTTTTTTTTTTTTAATTCTTAAAACGTTTGCAAGGAACTGAATTAAACATTAAGAGGATGTTTATGTGGAAACTAAACTATAATTTTAAAAATAAGTTTAAGATATATAAAGTAAATATGTGAGTGAAGTTCTATATCAACTTGCATGAAAGTGTTTCTAAAAAGCAATTTTGGAGAAAACCAAATACTTCATTGATCAAATTAAATTGATTTTACCTTCTTACCAAAAAAAAGGGTTACACCCAATGACTCGTTTTTTTATGTTGAGATATTATCCAACGATACGAATGGCGAAAAAAAAAAAGAAATAATAAACGACACAATTTAAAGTTTAGTTTTGGATAAAGTTTTAATGAATTTTTACTGTTAGGTCCCATTTTTATATATTCTTTCCCATCTTATTGATTCAACCGGTTGTGGTTTGATTAGCTCTGCTTCTAATGCCATTAAACATACTCCTCTGGTTCTATTTATAGGACAAAAAAAGAAAGTTTTTTTGTCCTGTTTATAAATCACTTTATTAAATTTTTATCATGAATATACCATATTGTCCTTTATTTATTATAATGTAAATAGTTATTTTTTTAAAAAAATATATATTAAATAGAGATAAAGTTGAAAAGTTGTTATATTTTAATGAAAAGTTAAGAAAGTTTAAAATGTTTCTTGATATATGTAAAATATGTTGAAAGTACCTTATAAATAGAATCAGATGAGTAATATACAAAAAATGTCACCCAAAGCATATGGTGATTTTTTTTTTGGGCATTTGTTTTTTTCATTATCACCGTAAAGAGAAAACAGAGTTTGGGTTCTTAAACTTTCACCCAATTTGCAATGTGACCCCCTATATTTTAATTGATATTAAACCAGTCTTTAAAACCATAATTAGTTACCTGTTTGAACTTTATAATTGATGTTGAGCATTGATTATTCGTGCTGACAAATGCAAATGCTATCCTTGTTGGCCGCAAAGAGTAGCAAATGTTATGACATAATGACATTAATTAATGTTTAATACTCCTTTTAGTCCTATATATAAACTTTAATAACCGAATTACGTATAACAAATTAACAGTTAAAATTAGTTAAAAATAATGAATTGGTCAGAAATGTATTCTTTTTTTCTAAACTTGCTGTTATTTATTAAGAGAGTAGATGAGAGAGACAGTAAATAAAAAAATGACAAAAGAGAATGTATGAGGATAATATTAATAAGAGAGATGAAGTATTAAATACAGCCAGAGCAAAATAGGTAAAAAGGTAATAAATGCTCACACAAACTAAAAAGTTAAACTTATATTTTGAACCAAACCATTTTTTAAAAGTGAAACTTATTTATAGAACCAGAGAGAGTATTATTCATTTAGTCCTTTTTATAAGATGTAAATATATAAATTACATAGTTGATTTAAATTGATTAAAATAAATGACTGTGTAAAAATGCATTTTATTTCTTGAAAAAAAAAACCCTTATTTATAGAGGGAAGGAGGGTGAATGAGAGGAAAAAAAGAGCAAATAGAATAATTAATGGAGTGAGACTAAGCAGTAAGTAATGGGGTCAAAAATGTAAAATGATAAAATAAAAAAGATTAATATAATTTTTAGTCCTTTAAATTTATACGAATTTTGGTAAAACAAAAAAATTCAAGTTTTTATTAAATCACAGGGATCAATGTCTTAGACAAAAAAAAAAGCTAGAGGAATTAGAATTTATGATTTACAACTCAAAAAACTAAAATTAAAATTAGAATAAATTTGATGGACTAAAAATTATATTAATTGTATTAAAAGTTTCAAAAAATTTATTGGTGTGTTTTATAAGTAAGAATATGTTATCTTAAAAAAAAAAATCTCATCCATAAGAGTATTAATCACATGGATTAAACCTCCAAGTATTCAAAATTTCAAGACTAGATTGATTTTGTTCAAAAAGCAGTAGCACTAATTGAACCAAATTATAAATTAGTCAGAATTAACTTCTTTCAAGCAAATTAGATGAGTTTTATTCTATAAAATACAAAAATAGTAGTATCAAGCTTGAATAGGACCCAAAAAAGAGAGAAAAAGATCTGTTTTTTTCAATACAAGAAGAAAATCTGTGTTTACATTCTATTGTCTCTCATTCTTAATATAAAAACTAACTGAGTAATTTAAATAAATTAAAAAAAAATTTAGTTAAGTTAGTTATTTGTAATAAATGTGTATTATTTTTTCTAAAATATCTTTACTAATCAATGACTACTTCCAGTCCTTAATATAAGGCTTATTTGATTTTTATTTTGGTCATAAATATAAAATCTTAATTCACTTATTTCTCATATTTATTTATTTTTTTAAGATAGTTCTTGTACTAATAATAGCTTTAGCCAATATATTTGATTGGTAATCATATTTTAGTAGAGTAAAAAAAACCAGATTGAACTAACTGGTTCAACCAGAAAACCGATCATTGGTCTGGTCTAGTTCATGGATTAAACCAGGGACCGGTTGGAAGCGGATTGAACCGATCAAACCGGTATGAACCGGTGTGAATCGGTAATGAACCGGTTTGAATAATTATATCGCTATTTGTCATATTTTTTCTCATTTAGTTTCTAATATCTCATTTATTATATATTTAAACGAATTTTAATGGTAATTTTGATATCAATAACTATTACTTTTAGTTCATAAAAAATCATAAAGATCAAAATTTTTAATATTGTTGTACTTTATTATTATTACAACAAATTATTATTGTATTTCCTTATATTTTGTTATTAGTGATTATTAGTATTGTTATATTTTGTTATTTTCAATCAAATTATATTATTTTAATATGATCGGTTTGATCCGGGTTGATCCCGATCTGACCCACTGGCCTTGAATCACCATCTCAACTAGTTTAGTGTTCGGTCTGGTTTTTTGTTCTTGTATTTTAACAAAAACAATATCTATTTATTACAAATAATTAACTTAACCAATTTTTTAATTTATTTAAATTAATCAACTAAATTTTATATTAAGAAATTGAGATTTTATATTAGTTAGAACTATCATTATTATAAAGATTATCTTAAAAGATAAATAAATATAAAAAACAAAATAAATTAATTGAAGAGAAAAGAAAAAATAAAATAAACTCTTATATTCAATACTATTAAATGGGTGGTGGTACAATTTAAATAACGCAATATGCCACCGTTTGTCCGTCAGTGTTATTTTCAACTACTTCCCCGTCTTCCCTTCCACTCGACACGCCACAAAGCTGTGTCTTTCTTATCCCGAACGCCTCATCGAGGCTTTTGGAATCTGGTTCTCTGCCTACTGATTAAGCCAATGTTAAAGAAAACACACGAATCAAAAGAGACGAATTCGATTCTCCAATCTATCTGACTACCCAGATTCGCTCGCGGTAACTTCCTAGGTATTTCGCTTCCCTTGCCTTCTTGTGCATAACTGAGTAATCTCGGTGTTTCTGAATTAATCAGATTCAAAAACCAGCTATTTATTCAAATTTTGTGAGAAATTGTTATTGTTGAAGATACGATGGGCAACGCCTTTGTTAAAAAGCGTAACGCTCAATTTTCCAGAAATGTTAAAGAGGAGCGCGGAAGAAGCAGGTCATCTAACCTAAGTAACCGAACGGTGCCTCAACCTCCACGAACACAGCCACAGCCGCCGGAGATGATGCAGAGGATATGGAGTAACAAGAACCGATCGTCCGGAGAAAGCTCCGTCGTGGCAGGAAAGGAATCGGTGAAGAAGAAATATGCTTTGATTCCCGATAACTTCACTACCCTTGAGCAGGTTTGAACTTTGATTCAATTTCTCTAAAAATTTCATTTTGTCTGATTGTCATTTGTCTTTGGTGCCTTTTTTTTTTGGTGGTTCCTTTCGCTAAATTATCCATTGGAAAGTGTCAAGTGAAAATCGTAGGAAGCGGTGAGTATATGTTAAATAATCGATTAGAGAAAAAGAAGAATCTAGCATTGGAAATATTTTGGTTTTTTCACTTATAAAAAATGTAGAAGTAAGTTTTATTTTCTGGAATGTGAGTAGTTTTTTTTAAAAATGTTTTACTAACGTTATTTCTTTTTTTTTTTTGGTCCATACTCACGTTATTTCAATAGTTAGTTTATTTCCTTATTTACCTGAGTATAGTTTATTTTCAAAACAGAGTTTCTCAATATTTGGTAAAACTTCTGAGCACTATGAAATTATCACTGGGCTTTAAAATTACGGGGCTAAAGGTAAATAAGTTTTTTTCAAACAATAAATTCAATAATTAAGATTACATTACTAGATCATTAAACTTGGAGCTTTAACACTATTCGATTGGACTCGGAGCAGCTAGTAGGCAGGTCCCTTCGTTAATGCATTGTGATTTCTGACCCGTGAGCTGAGTTGAAACGTGTTTCTTGAAAGGGGGTGTCTGCCACTTGCTTAGATATTGGTAAAACGAAGACTTAAAAAGTCAAGTGGGTGTGTGTCCCGTGGTGAGGGCTCTACTTTTAACGTGATTGCAAAATTCAAAATTCAAAATTCAAATTTGATTCCCCCACCCCCCACAAAAAAAAGCAAAAAAAAAAAAAAAAGAAACCAGAAAAAGAGGAGAAGACTCCATATTGAGTTTTTTTTTTACCAGCCAGACTTCATATTGAGTTTAAGGACGGAGAAGCAAAATTCCTTTCATACACACTATAAAATTGGTTGTTGGGTTGCCAGATGAGATCCATAAATGAATTCCATGAAATTTTATATTTAAGACTAGTTTTAAATCCAAAATAATTTGAGTTAAAAAAAAAAAGTACTAGCATCATGTTCTTGACTTCATGTGATTATGGAAGTCCCATTAAACGTTTTTCTGATGTAGAAGTAGTCAATTTATCAGGGGAAAAAAGACTGGAAGGATTAATTGAAAACTAGAAGCAAGATAAAAAGAGGGAAAATTGGGAAAAAGCTCCCATTAATTTTTTTTATTGGTAAAAATGACTTAAATCAGAATATTAACACATCATATGTTCGGATTTTATAAAATATCAGTTTTTTTTTTAAAATGGTCAGATTGTTCTCATTAATAAATCTTTCAACGGATTTTTTTTTTTTTAAATTTTCTCCCGTAAGATATTAGGCAAGTGGGAAATTGACGTGTTTTAGGGGCCTATTTATGATAGCTATCATTGATAAAAAAATGATTGATGATATATTTTTTTTCCCGCGATGCTTGATTGATCATGTTTAGTGGATATAATAATAAGTCTTTATATTATTGGTGGGGACCTTGCTTTGTTTTGATCTAAAAGTCCATAGGATAACCTGTTTGGGACTGATACGGGATGCAAGGCGCCGTTGGATTTCAATTCTCAAAAGATACACGTCTTGGATTACCTAGTTTTTTATTCAAAAGACATAACTATTATGGATAAGAGTTTAAAACGTTTAAGATTTGGAGGCTGGACGTATATTTCTTAAAAGTTAAAGACTGAATATGTTTTCTAAATTTCTTACGTGAAAGATATCATACTACGTGGGAAAGAGGAATATTTAAGAAATAAAGATCATTAGACAACATGGTTTTGTAAAGAACAATGTTACTGTTGTAATGAGGCGTGGAGTATAAAATACTATTTGATTCTTAACATAAAAAGCTAGATAACTAATTTTATGAATATTAAAAAAATAATTAATTTAATTATTTATAATAAATAAATGTTGTCTTTTTTAAAATATTTATATTATTTAGTGAAGTTAGTATCATTAATTAATCTCACAATATCATAGCATAAAAAATTGTGATATGGTAAAAAGTTGGGGAAAAAAAAGATAGGGTGAAATTTTCTTTTAGGAGGTTGAGTTTTCTAAATATTTAAGTGGGTTTTACGCTTTTGCTAGAAACTGGTAAATGGGTGAACAGTGTAAATCCATACTTGCTTTTTTTTTTTTTTTAAGAATCGTTTATACATTTTGGGGGGGGGGGGAACAAAGGCTTAGGCAATTTCTTTTGGTACAGAGGCAAAATTTAAGTTTAGGCCAAATCGCATTTGTCATTACATCATTTCGTGGGGGAGAAGTTTGGGGGATAGGGATTGTGGTGATTAGGACCAAATCAAATCTTGCCATCCCATTGTATTCCATTATAATACTCCTGTGTTCTCACAGCGCGATCCACAATGTTGTGATGGGTAGGTCACGGCGTGATCCTCATGTTATGCAAGTCAACAAAAAAGAAAAAGAGGCTACCATAGAAACGACTTGGTCTTATTTTTTTATTTTTTAATTTTTTGGTCTTTGAAATGCTTGTTTACCCACCGCTTTAATTCAGGAAAGAAACTAGACATGGTCTAATATTTATCACTTGACAAGTCAAAATCTCATAAGCCTTTAGCAGAGTGATTTAGGCTGCCCAGGAAAACAAAACACAAGTAAATATGGCACATGCTTTCTATTCCACTGAGGGAAAGAACCCAAGTAATTGGAACTGTTGATAAATCAGTAGCTATGGGTTAAAGTATCCGAAAGGCACTCTGAGATATTTAGAGGCAAGTAAAATAGACAATCATTATATCAAAATGACCTCTTTGAAAACTCTAGAATGCTGAGATGAGCGAGTCCGCGAAACTGCATAGCACCGTCTCTCTAACCTCTTCCAGTTTCCTCTTCATCTCCAACAGCTCCTCCAAACTGTCACACCCTTCCAATTTGATCGCCTCCACCTGTTCTCTCAAACCCACGTTGTTAGTAGTAGAGGCAGAGTCGGAAACAGAGGGCTCCGTCATACAGCTCCCGCCGGTGCTGCTGGTGCCGGCGGCTGTCATAGTCGTCATTGACGCCGCGGTGGAGCTGTGAAGGAATTGGTCAATGATGGGGTCGAAGGAAGGGGAGCCATGGACGTAGGATCTTCCAGTAGGAGAAAAGACCAGTACCGCAATGAGGGGCCCAGAGATTTTGTGGTATTGCTGAGCCTTCTTGAACAGTCCCTCGCGGCGCTTGGAGAAGCAAACGTACCTCGCTGATTTGTTCTCAATTTTCTTGATCTCTGTGTTCCGCTTTCCGGCTCCCATTACGGCGGCCGGCGGTGGAGGGAAATCGGGAAAACGATTCACTGATGTCGGGAAATAACGCAATGGTCTAGTTTTGCCGCGGAGATGGCGGTGGCAATGGTCTAGTTTTGCCGCGAAGATGGCGGTGGCGGGAGTGATCCTGGGTAATAAGGAGCGAAAGCAAAGTAGAAAGGAAGGATTGATTAGGCCGTTCTGGTTTCCTTCTCATAAATGATAAACCTTGTTACTTGCGCGCTCAATGCTAATCTCGACCTTAACGGCTAGATTTCTGTTCAGTTTAGGAAACTCTCATCAAATTCTGTTGGGCATTTATTTCCTGATTGCTTAGTAAATATTTTAATAATCAAAGTGAATATTTGGATGAAGTTCAGCAAACATTTGATTTAATTTGATACGACCCAGATAAACTAAGTTATTTCATTATCCGATTGCCCATATAGTTTTTTTAATATAAAAAAAATTTATATTTATCTTTAATATAAGAGTTAGTTGACTGATTTGAGTAGATTAAAAAAATTAGTTAAGTTAGTTATTTGTAATAAATAGGTGTTATTTTTATTAAAATATTTTTACTAATTAAGTATATTGGTTATAATTACCATTATGACAAATATTACCTTAGTAAAAAAAATAAATAAATATAAAAGGCAAAGTGAACCAGGGTCTTATATTTAGAGTCAAAATAAAAATTGAACAAATTCTTATATTAAAGACAAGAGATAGAATGTACACTTCTAATTCCAAACAATATTGTTTCTATAGTTTCTCAATTAGTTTTAAGTTAAAACAATGATTTATTTATTTATTTATTTTTTAAAAAATCGAATGGGATTGGCGCACTTGCTTGTTCTTGACTAGGCTACTTTTGGATAATCTTATTAGGGTTTTTAAGCGGATATGGAATTTTTAGATAGTAATAATGTATTGAAGGGATGTATATCTCACATGAATTTTGTAATAATTTATTAATTTAATCGGAAGTAGTCTTCACAGCTTATTTATGTAAGAACAGGAAAGAAATGGGATGGGTTTGATTAAGTTGAATAGTTAATTAGTATAACTATATTTTTGTGTAACAAAATATTGTAATTAAAAAAAGTATTTTGGCTCTCTACTGCTAACGATAAAAATTGTTGACAGGAGTTTTCCGGAATATTATTTATTATTTTTGTGCGGTATTATTCTAATTATTGTTTTAGTCCCTACCCCTAGTCGATATACGTACGCTTGTTCCCAGAGCTGTCGTCCACGCAGGGTCATTTCAAGAATTTCTTCATGTCAGTAAAACGAATTTTTTGAACCATGTCACGTATGATCTTAATATAACTCCTTCATTTGAGCAAGTAAATTAGAGTAGTTTATGTCTATATCTGCAAATTCTAAACTGCTCGGCATACGTGCATTGCACAACAAACGTGAAAATTTCAGCGGCTTTCTCTTCTAAACAGGTGACCGCAGCCTTGAGGAAAGAAGGTTTGGAATCATCAAATCTCATCCTTGGAATTGATTTCACGAAGAGCAACGAGTGGACTGGTAAGTGATAATACACGAAACACACACTATTATACTTTTTAGTACGAAGTATTGAAAATTGAAAACGAGAGATAGGGAATGGAATTGCAATTGAGAAAAATTATTAAAAAGATAGTTAGCATGAGTAATTGCTTGTTATATGGGATTAGACAAACTCATAAAGATGAGATTGGGAAATAACATCTCTCCCCATGATATTTTCCAATCCCATATATATTGATTTACCTAATCTCATATAACATGCATTCTCTTATGTTAAACACTCTTTTAATAGATTTTATCAATCTCAATAACAATCCCTGTTCCTAATTTTCAATGCTTCGTACCAAATGAGACCTATGTATCCTGATGATTCCGTGGCCATGATTGTGAACTTTAACTGGCATAAATATGGTTTCTGGTTTGATAAAGGAAACATGGGTTTAAATTATGTTGTACCTTTAAAATGATTTCTCTTTCATCGCTCGCCTTAGAAGCCAATGTATCCGTGTTTTTATTAAAGGCAAAGTATCATTTAATAATAGAAGCCTGCATGCTATTGGATCAACACCCAACCCCTACGAGAAGGCCATCTCTATTATCGGCAAAACCTTGGCGCCCTTCGATGATGACAATTTAATTCCATGTTTTGGCTTTGGTGATGGTAAGTCCCAATCCTTAAGGCAGTCCACGTATAAAAGGAAGTTCCTTTCACTTAACTATCCTCATTTTACAGCTACCACCCATGATCAAGAAGTATTTAGCTTTCACAGTGATCATTCATCCTGCCATGGTTTTGAGGAAGTTCTGGACTGCTACCAAAAAATAGTTCCGAACTTGAAACTTTCAGGTCCTTATCAATCTATCATATTTGGTTTTTATAGTCATCAGCTTGTTCAAATATGATGTGACCCTTTAATCTTTTGCTTAAAAATGATGGCTTAAGGATATTTGTTTGCAATTTTGGTTTTGAAGGGCCAACTTCTTACGGTCCGGTGATTGAGGCTGCAATAGACATAGTTGAGAAAAATGGGGGCCAATTCCATGTGTTGGTTATAATTGCAGATGGACAGGTTTACTCAGGCTACCTCTATATATCTGAGTCGGCCGCATATGTGTTGCAAATTTTAGTTACGCATTTTTCTTTGATATGAAGGTTACAAGAAGCGTAAATTATGATGACGGAGAACTGAGTCCTCAGGAACAGAAGACCATCCAAGCCATTGTTGAAGCAAGGTAAAGTGATGACTGATGAGGAGCGTCAAAAATCACTTTAGCTTAAAAATTTAAGTTGCAAATAAAAATCTTATGAATACTGATTTCTATTTTCTACCCGATCATTTCTATTTTCTACTGCCAGTTCATATCCACTTTCGATTGTTCTTGTTGGAGTTGGTGATGGGCCTTGGGAAGACATGAGAAAGTTTGATGACAAGATACCTGCACGCGATTTTGACAATTTTCAGGTACAGCACAACGATTATCAGAAATTCTGGATGGCATTACCTTGCCTACTTGCATTATTGCCATCTTCATCACTTGCTTACATAGCATATTTCAGTATAAAGCATATTTCTTCCTCTGTGCAGTTCGTTAATTTCACTGAGATAATGTCTAAAAATTCAAGCCCTTCTCAGAAAGAAGCAGCTTTTGCTCTGGCTGCTCTGATGGAGATTCCATTCCAGTATAAAGCAGCTATTGAACTTAAAAGACTTGGGTAAAGATTCGCATACACTACTTAATTTTACTTGATGAAAAGCAAAAAGGAAATCTAATATGCTTTCACTCTATTCTGTCGACAGCTTTCCCTGAAGCAATCTTGTTTTCTTTGTCATGACTGTTTGATTGAGTTTGCCATTCGATGATTGACTTTTTTCTTCTTTTGAACGGACAATAGCCGTACGACAGGTAGGGCTAAGAAAATAGTTCCGCGACCTCCTCCAGTTCCTTATTCTCGACCTGCACCACCGGCTCGTCTACCAAGCAGTGTTCCCTCAGACGATGAGCGAAATCAGCAGCAGGTATATGAGACTAAAATCAAGAGTGCTGTTGTATAATTGCCTTAATTGTCCCTTGTTTTGGAAATTAAATTTACTGCAATAAAAATAAGTCAGAAGTTAGACATGAGCAAGTAATTGCTACACATCACTGCTTGCTTTGCTGACAAGTTTGAGGTTGTCCTCTGATAATTCTGATATTTATAGGCCTGCCCTATTTGCCTGACAAATGCTAAGGACTTGGCCTTTGGATGTGGGCACATGGTGAGCTTCATTGAATTCAATTCACGGTCTCCGTTCTTGTCTTTTCTGTTTGTTCTTTGTGTTTTACCAATCTTTTGAAATGCAGACTTGCAGAGATTGTGGATCCAGGTTAACCAACTGTCCCATTTGCCGAGAGCGGATCACAAGTCGTCTCAGGGTGTTCACCGGGTGATTGTGTAAGGGAAAGGGTACTTTTACAGAGAACTAGAACTTAATATTCTTACCTTTAAAGTTTGCTTGGTTTAATTTATTAAATCAAGGAAAAGTCTTAAAAAAAGACCATCAAAATAGAAAAATTGTAAATAGAGACCCATGATAACATTAGTATGGGTTTTGACAACGATTTTTATGAATGGGTCTCTGTATGCAATTTTTCTATTTCAGTGTTTTTTTGTGTGGCTATTTTCCCTTAAATCAAACTAAAAACGTAAATATGCATCTTATGATGAACAGCTTAAGGGGCTATGCTTTCCATAAAACCTACGTGGAAGAAGATTATGTACATTAACTAAGGTCAGAAAGTATTGCTTCCTGGTGGTTGGTTGAAGAATGGACTTGGATTTGCATGAGATTGCTGTATGTAGAGGGTGAGAGTGTTGCTTTCTAGACTGAAAAAGAGTGTCCTGGCTTTGTGGGAGATTTTATTTGTTTCATGTGGCGTATGGGTTTGAAGCTGTTCATAGCAATCGTCTGTTGTACATACAGATACAGTACACTTTCTTCTCTGTTGCCAATATGGTTTGAATAATTTGGTTACATTGATGCAAAGATAATACCTTTTCATCAATTGTGCATAGTGGCTTCAATATCTCTATATTCTTACTCCATGCAAGACAGTTTGACCGGGGAACCTGTTGACATATTAATTCAAGAATAAGTAGTTCAGTTGAATAGAGGTCAATTCGACTATGATTAAAATAATATAATCGAATTAAAATATACAGAAAAATTAATATCTAACCTTTAAAAAAGATATTTAGATAAAAATTGCTAATTCATAAATAAATAGAATAGTTATTTATAAATCAAACATATTCTAACAAAATAAATATACTAAAACACATATATGACCCGCTCCTATCCTCCCCCCGCCCCAAAAAAAAAAAAACCTGCAATGATTTCATTATGAGGAGAAAAATATAAAATTTGACTCATTTCTCCTGCCCAAAACTGTACTTCGGACCGAATTGATTATGATAATGAAGGGATGATAATAATTTACTAATTGATGGATTTGACCGGTTGATTGGGTTGAGTTTTCATATTATTATCCCATTTTCCAAAGCTGTGATATGGATAATATTTCATCCTGAAACATTTTTTTAAAATTTATAATTTCCCTTATCCTTTATTTTGTGATCAAACATTTTTTTAAAATATATACGTAGTTCTTTCTCAATTCTCATTACTTATTATTTTTTTCAGGTGAAATCAACATCTTGCAATTCAGCAACGATATTTTCCAGGGAAATACTACAAGCTGCTTTTAACTGACTTATATTTGGGCCCCCTTAATTTCTTTTTTGTACGCAATGAACGGTTCTAAAGTCCCAAATACTTAATTAAATAAAAATAGTAAAATAAATATACCTTGTCTAGAACTAAACATTAAAAATTGAAATTGAACTGGTTGGCAAAAAAAAAAAAGAAAAGAAGGGAAATAGTGCTGCGGGATGAATTGAAAAGAACTTCGAGTGTCATGGATTAATAAATTGAACCATCAGATCGCATGCCGTATGGAATGACGACATGTATGCGTAAAAAGTAATAATACATGGGTGAAAGATGATAATTAATAAATTAAATTTATTGTATAAAATGTGATCTTATGAAAATCATACCCACACTTCAAAATTATGATTGTTCAAAATAATAATTTAAATCATATGAAAATCGCGGCATCCATCTTACGAGTGTCTTGTGGTCCTGGTAAACAAAAAAACAAAAAAAGTTGTCTTGTGGTCATTTATTATTTTAAGCGTAAGCGACCTTAGGATCCAATTCGATGACCCTAACTTTTGGACCACAAAAAATTGAAAAGGTTTTCCAACAATTTGGCCAAAACCATGATTTTGACATCCAAACCAAAATTTGCCAAATAGGAGAGAAATCAGCAAATTATGGTTTTAAACTCAAAATCATGATTTTAGAAAAAATAAATCTATTATACTTTTGGTTCAAATTAGAGAGTATGAGTGTGTCAGCCAGAGTAGATCCTAACGGTAACATGACTTTAACACCCTTTAATTATTTTTCTATAAACATATTTAATCCTATAATTTATAAATATATATACAATTATTAATTATTTATTAATTATATTATCTTATATATGATTAATTATGTTAGTAAAAAATATATTATTAACAATTTTATTATTTTGAATTTAAATATATTATAAAATCTATCTTTTATATAATTATCATATTAATTTATACCATTTTTAGTACTTTACACATATAAAAAGTGCTTTTAATAACAACTATCCAAACAATCTCACTTTATCAGAATTATTTTTTCACAAAATTTATTCTCCCAAAAATCTATTTTCCAGAAACTATTTTTCAAACTATAGTTTGGTTTCTCTTAATTGGAGATAAGCATTACTTGGTAAGATAAACAGTTTGGTTGTACCCAACGAGATTTCATTCATAGAAATTATCGATACTCAAATTCAGGTTCTTCTATCCATTTTTTTTCTATTTCTTCCACTAACTTTAATTTTTGAAAAATTAAGTTACAGTATGATTGATCAATATATCAGGTTAGAAACTATCAAAATAGATACTCCAGGTAAAAAAAAAAATCGAAATAGCTATTTACTGGCTGATTATTAACACCCAATTATAAATTTTTTTAGCATCTTATTTCAACCATTCTAAGCATTACAAAACCATGTTGGATGTTTTTATAAATCACAGTTATTTTTATAAGTCTCTGCTTATGATCGAAGACATTTTTGCCTGGTCATGATAAAAATAATATCCTTTGAGTGATATTTGTTCATCTCAGATGGGCATTCTCAAGTCATTATCTATTAATTTTCAGTTCACACACTAATCTTTGACCAACAACCGAAATCAAATCAATGTGTCCAAACAACTTATTTTTTGAGGCTTCAAACTCTGAATATTAAGTTGGCGAGTCAATCAATCCAATAAAGAACTCATCAATATTTGCGAACAAGAGTACAAGAAAAATAAAAATAAAAATAACGAAGCATGATAATACTTCCAAACTATAGAATGATCGATCGCTTTCTTTATGTTTATCAATGTCATACTCTTTTATTTTATTTCTCTTCGCATTTCAAACTTTTCGAGTTCATCACTCTCCTCAAATGAGTTTACTTTTACTAGTTGGTCTTCTATTTATTTATTTCGTTTAAACTAAGCTCCTTTCTTGTGCTTCTTCCTCTTTGGTGTTGATGAACTATTGGTGGATATATGAAAAGGATAATGTAAATTATGAATATTTTTCCTTGAAAATCATTGAAGCTACATTAACTAGTTTATATTTAGGAAGAATAACAAATAAAAAAACAAAAAGACAAAATAAGGATATTACATTTCTGAAATAATTTTCTATGATAAGGTCTATCTCCAAATTTTTTAAAAAAATATAACGAGTGAAATGCTCATGAGACAAGTAATTTGCCTATATAATAGTTACCCAGAGAAAGTATAATATTTAAACAAAGAGAATTTAATACCATATGACTATCAAATTTCCTAAAAATTTCATAAATCTAACTATTAAATTTTCTTTGTCATAGTATAAAATTTGAGGGGAAAAAAACTTGCCTGTGAGCTATTAAATTCCCTTTGTCTTCATACTATATTCCTTGTGTGACTATTAATTTTTCCTGAGAAAAGAAAAACAAACTCATTATTTTTATGCGAGGACTGCTAAAGGTGACATGAAAGTTTTCTCCGCGTGATGGAAAGTTGTGTTTGTGTGACTATTGACTTTTCTACTATTAAATGAAGTAAATTATTTTCTGTAAGACCTCACAGTTTTTTCCGAAAAAATTGTTGCAAAATTTTTTATTACAAAACTTATTGTCTAAAGATAATAAATATAACTTGTCATATTGATCCCTGCATTGTAATTCTCCTTTTATTTTTTATTCATACACAAATTGTTTAAACCAATACGACATGGCCAGTGGGCAGTTGAAAAGCGGGAACATATATAAAATAAAGGAATAAAATACTATTTGTGTGCATAATAAGGAAAAAAGAAGCAACCAAAATACTAGTTTTAAATTAGAAAGAGATGTAGCTGTGGAATTTCCTAGTATGTTCAGAGCATCATCATCAGAGAACGAAGAAGAAGACGAAGACGAAGAAACGTCGGTCCCAGGAAGTTAATGCACATGAAAGTCAATGATTTATCAGAACTCAGAATTTTCAACTCCCACCTCTAGCTTTTGCTAGGAACAACATCATCTAGAATAATAATATAATAATTAATCATACATACTAACTTGTATTACTTTATATCAATAATAAAACTATTGACTTGTTCTAAATTCTGTTCCTTCCACGTAATTATAATTATTTCGCTTCGATTCAAAGCATCGCCGAGGTTAGAAATAACCCAGAAGAATCACAGAATTTAACAAGAACGAGAGCTCTTTAATTCCTTTTATATATATATATATGTTTCACCAAATACCAATCAAACTCAAGCGTGGCATGTTAATAAATAGTCCTTGAAACTCTCTTTCTGGTTCTTCTTCTTTTAGCTTCTTTCTGAAATCCCCAGTGATTTTGTCTGCTGGTGGCTTGGATTGGATTGCCCAGCTAGATGCTTCTGGTTTATGGGATTCTGAACTGGTTTCTTGGGTTGTTTGGTTTCACAGAAAATAAAGGATTTTTACCATCCATTTTCTCAGATTATAGCGATATTAATGATAAGCCTGGGCTATTGTTCATCACTTTCCTGGGAATTCTAGCCTTTGCCTTGTTGCTGCAGTACTTTGCAGAAACTAAACAACCTAATGACAGTACTTCAGATTATGGCAATGAGGAATATCAGAGCTTGATTTATCTCTTAGAAGAGGACGAGGAAGAGCAACACAGTGATCAATTAGGTCTTGGTTTTATTGCCGTCAACGAGCAGGCGGCCGGCGACTCCACGGAGACCAATGGTGGCGGTGACGGTGGTCAGAGAGAGCGTGCTTGTTGTGCCTTCTGTGGCGATTTGAGCACCACAAGGTGTTCGAGGTGCAAGACGGCAAGATATTGGCAAGTAGTCTCCTAAATTAGTATTAATTAATACTGTGCTTAAATTATTATAGTTTAATTACCTCTTTAAAATTTGTTTTTAAAAGGCTTGAGAAGGTTTTCATTTAAAATTTACATGCGAGAGTTATTTTCATTATACTTAATTATTATATGACGTTTTTCTACCTGAAGTTTAGTACAAAGATAACTAATTTTGTTGATTAAGTGTTCAAAATCATACACTTCATTTGTTTCACTTGCATCTTGATGATTTTATGGTGTTCTTAAGTTTTTTTTTTTGGATTAATTTGGCATGTATCTTTAATTTCAATGTACAAGATTCGAAAATCAAATTCCTCCAATATAAGTAGGGTTTCATGTTTTGTTGAAATAATGAGTTATATTTGTTTTATTATATTGTTGGGTTTAGCAGCTCACAGGGATGCCAAATTCTGCACTGGAGATTAGTTCATAAGAATGAATGTAGAGACACAAATACTGTGGTCCCAGAAACACATTCTCATCCTCATGAAGCCTCGAGAATTGTTAAGTCTAAAATGGTAATTAGCTCATTGTTTAATTTTATACTACCTCTATTTCTTATTACAAGAGCTTGTTTAACTTTCAATTTGGTCCTAAATATAAGATCTCAATTCACTTTGTCTTTCATATTTATTTGTTTTTTCCAAAATAGTCTTTGTAGTATGTGCATATACTAAATGTTTCATCAATTTAACTAATATACATGATTAGCAAAGATATTCTAAGAAAGATAACACCTATTTATATAGCAAATGACTAACTTAACTAATTTTGTTAATCTCTCCAAATTAGTCAACTAGGTTTTATATTAAAAACCAGGAGTAATATAAGAGCTAGCTTGTAGTACAAATTAAACTACAAACTAGTTCTTATATCTAGGACCAGAGGTAGTATTATACTCCTTCGGTCCAAAATGTAAACCTCGTTTTGTAGTGTAATTTACTATACAAAAAGGGTTTTATTTTTATGATTGGAGGAGCATATATATATGCAATTAATTAATTAATTTGACACCCTATTTGCATAGACTCGTTGTTAGTTTACCAGCTTCATTCAATCATTTTCAAGTTGAACTTATAATTAGCTTAATCAACGGCAGTCCCATGTTGTGTTAATAAAAAATGGAAGAAGAAATAACTAGGGATTAAGAAATAGTCAAAAGAAAGAAAAAGCAAGTGGGATAGACAGTAATGTATTTATTTATTTTTCGTATTTCGTGTTCGATAATCATCATTAAGAATTAAAAAAATCACATCAAGCCGCTAGTTAGAGAAGAACAATATTTTGTTCAAAAGTGATGAATATTTTAAAACTCACCCCATCATATGTAAAAAATAAAAAATTACGAACAAAGTTTACTGCTCAATGCATGAGTCGTCATTATATATATACATTAATCTGGACCAATCTGAGCTTTAATCTCACTAGTTTATATGTGTAAAATTTGCTAAAGCTAATTAATTTGGTTAAACTGGACTAGCATGATACAATGCTTTTCATTTTAGGTATCACCTCATGTACTTAATATAAGAATTATATAACTAATTTAAGAATATTAAAAAAATTAGTTAAATTAATTATTTATAACAAATGTGTATTGATTTTCTTATAACATCATTGTTATATCGTATGCATTGATTGGAACTAAACCTCTTAACATATGCATTTAATAGGGATATTCTGAAAAATTATAAATTTAAAAGACAAAATAAATTGCTGTGTTATATTTAAGATAAAGTGAGTCTCTTGTCTAGCTCTTATATTGATGTTAGGAGGTAATATGATATAATACTTACAAACCTCGAATCCTAAAATTTTAAAGAAGTACTAATCTTGAAAATTTTGGAAAATTTGGTTGGGAAAATAATAAAGGCAGATTGATATTTTCAATAGTGGTCCTTGCATATATAAGTTGATTACTGAAAAAAAATTCAAATTGAGAATTTTGAAGATTCAATTTGAAGAAGAAATCAAATATAGGTTGGAGTTATTAGTGATCTAGATGAAAGATAATTAGTGAAAAAAAATTAAAGGTTAAGGTGCAAATCTATTTATGAAGTATTTTGCCATAGGCATCTAACACCATAAATTTTTCTTGGGTATAAAAGTATTTGTAAATTTTTTAAATGGAGTAAAAATACTATGACCATTAAATCAACTAACATTAACCATTTAGCAAATGTATATATTAAGAAAATGATGCAAAAATACATATAAAGTTTTTAAAATGATGCAAAAATATCACAATCGCTAGAAATTTCGTGTGTATTTTTGCACCGTTTTAAAAAATATTATGTATATTTTTGCATCATTTTTTTGGTTAATGTGTTTGTTAAACGGCCAACATTAACAGGCATGGTATTTTTGCATTAGTTTGAAAATTTTATGTGCACTTTCACACCTAAAAAAAGTTTATAGTGTTTGGTGCCTTTAATAGAATATTTCATTGATAAATTTGCACCTTAACTCAAAAATTAAATATAGATTGAAAATTTTTAGATATTTAATTGGGAAAAAAAAATCAAAGGTACGTAATTTCTTAGTATTCATCTTTATAAATAATTATTACTGAAAACAATTAATATGTTGTTTGGTATATTTTGGAGATCCCCATATTTTTCCTATTCATAAGATTTAAATGTAAAACTTTATTTTAAAAAAAAAAATGCCAAGGGCTAACTGATGATGTATCTATGTTGTAAAGCTTCAGCAAAATTCAACACCAAGCCTACACACACACACACAAAAGACGAAATTTGTGTTTGCCTAAAAGGATGCAGATCTTTGAATAGATGGGGAATATGATTTCCAAATCCATTATGGGTCATGTTTTCTCTCACCTCATGTTTTCTGGTGAGTTTAATTGTAATATTTTTAAAAAATAAGACATTTTAATTTTAAGAGAAATTGTAAAAAAAGACCTTGGAATTATAAAAACACAGATAAGGATCATTGACAATTTCAGTTTTGATAATTTCATGACATATTATTATTGTTAAAAGCTATAATAAAATTATAAAGAGTCTTTATCTGTGTTTTTATAATTTTAAAGTCTATTTTTGTAATTTTTTCTTAATTTTATGTATGTGGTTGGACCTTAACATGATGAAAGACAAGCAACTTCACCTCCGTATTGGGGGGAAAAAAATCCCCACGTACAAATTCATAAATTATGCCAAGCAGCTTCCCCCACCAAGAATTTGGAAGATCTTTGCCAATTGCCGATCTTCCTCCACAGAAGTACTGCTGAGTAATACTATCACTGGCATGCATAGTTTCTGTCTTTCTGAATCAGAATGCGTTACCTTGGCATGCAACTTGAAGGGGAGAAAAAGGTCAAATTTTGGAAGAAGTTAAGGCCGTTTCTAATTCTACCAAGTACAAACCATTGTGCAGGAAAGGTATAATGAATGGAATTCGGAAGTGGGGAACGCGGACAACACTCATAACCCAACATGGAGATCCACTGAAGCGTCCGGAAACGGTTACTCTCTTAGCAATTGCTTCAGTTGTGCCGTGTGTGGCGGCCCAGCCACTACGAGATGCTCGCGATGTAAAGCCGTCAAATACTGGCAAGTCTTGCAATTTCTTCTTCATCTTCATCTTCTTCGTTTGCTTCGTTGTTATCGCAATTGTATTTGGGTGGCATCTAATTATTGTACTTGTTATGTTCTTTCTCAGCTCGGCGAAATGCTTAATTGAAGATTGGAGATGGCATAAAGTTGAGTGCACTCCGAGGAATGTGGATTCCGCTCACACAGAAAGATCTCCGAGAAACGTAGGTTTTATTTCTTAAACGGTGATTTGAATGGGATTTTCTGGAACCTCTGGATACATGTGTTTGGATTTTTTTTTATTTTTAAATTACGATATTTTCTTTTCATAGTTTGGGCTGCTCAAGAATTCTCATCAAGAGAAGGACCACGATCATTCGCCTCATCCCCTTGCTTTGGGATTTTATTCAGGTGTCTGCCAAATCGTACCAAAATTTTGATTGGGAATGTTGTCCAATATAACTAATTACATTGGACGGGCAACTCCAATTCTTCATTAACTTAGTATTCTCCTTGTACTTTTTTGTCTATTGCAGAAGGGACCACCAACATCAAGCCTCTGATTAGAAGCTCTCAGGTATGCTGGATAGAGTTGTCCATGGGGAGGTGGGGGTTGGTGATTAAAGGAAAGAATTAATTGCGACATAAACTTATGATTTAATGAAGGAACCTACCAAGAGAGCACAGGATCATACTGCGGATGGGGAGATATGCCATGAGGATGAAATAGCAAAGTTCAGGTGAAATTTCCATTTGCTATTCTTGATTTCTTGTTTGATTTTCTTGAATAAAAACTTCAATTTAATATTCTCTTTTTCCTTATGTCTGATCAGGAATGAGATTGTATTTCTTAGAGAAGAGCGTGACAAATGGGCATCACGAGCAAATTTTGCTAAACAAAGGTATCAGAGCTTCAAGAAAGAAGCTGAACACCAGGTGATATGTCTTAAATTTAGGAGTGCATGTGCGGTTCAGCCATTTGAGGCCGAATACTTACTTTATTCTTTCATTTATACAGTTGCTTGTCTTGAGTAACGAAAAGGAACTGATATCAAATGCTGAGGCGCAAGCTCAAATTGCAGTTCGTCGTTTATCCGAGAGGTTGCAAGACATGCAGGTTTTGACTGTGACTAATCCTGTTACCGAATTCATATTCTTTACATGTTCTTGTCTTGAACTTTTCAACTTAATTTGATTCCATACAGCTGCGAGAAAGCTTTGCAGAGAAAAAAAAGCAAGAAGAATATATACACAAACTGGAGGTCTGTTGTCTTAAGTGCCTTATCAGCATTTCCTATTGGCTGATAGGAAGGAAAATCTTCATATGCCTTTCTATTGTTTTTTTTTACTTCATTTAACTTGTTAGAAATTGTTAATCGACAGAGTAAATGTGTTGCGTTGAAGAGGGAACTGGAAAAGGGGTGGGAACATATCCAAGAGCTTAGTGCAGAGCATGATGGGAATCATAAGACTGCTCAAATTGCCATGAGAGAAGTTGAAGAAAAAGAAAAAGAGCTCCAATTGGAACGGGAACGTGTTCAACTGCTAAAGGAGGATTTTCGTAGAGATGTTGCAGCTGCCGAATCTAGGGCAATGATAGCTGAGGTATTTGTTGGTGCTTCTTTCAAAATATGCCTTATTCCGGCTGAACTTTCCTAATGACTCATGCATGGTTGTTTCTCCTGGTTTGTCCCTCAGGCAAAGCTCCTTGATCTTGATAGGAAAATTAGATCGAGAAATGATAAGGTGCATCTCCTTTCTTCCTGTCTGTTGTGTCTCTTGCAAGTGAACTAATCGTTTGAGTTTATAAAGTGTACTCAAGGAATAAAAATGTCAGTCTCACAAGTAATAATATTGCACGGACTTTTCCATAGATTTGCATTGCATAATTTCTAAATACCGGTCCATATAGCAAATTAACCTCAAAATAGTATTACTTGGTGGAAATTTTAAATCTATAATAATTAGTCACTTGGTAAGTCCCATAAAGGGGTCGGAAAAAGGTATATACAAGCGGGACTGCTTTGTTCGTATGCTCGAGTTCTGAAATTGAGAACTTTATTTTCCTGACTTCTTCCTTCTATTCAGGTTGCTGTCTGGACTGACGGTTTGGGCAGACCTGCCATGGTAAGTTTCCCTTTTTTGTTTTTTTGGTGAAATCTGGAAGATTAAAATCTTTTGGTAGGGATGAAGAAATTCTTGTGATTGAAGAAAAACCATATAACCACTATACTGGGGAAGAAATCCTTCCGGTTCTATGTCCATATATAAGAAATTGGTCTAGGAGTTTCCAAGGAGCCGGTTACATTTCCTTTATGAAACATTGTTGGATCATATGGGATTGGGTCTCCAGTAATTTTTTTTCTTCAAGTTAGATCTCTAGTAAGGGTTTTGATTACAGAATTTCTAAAAGTGGAAACATAAATTATGGTCTTTTAAATGTTGACCTTGACTTGAACTCCAATTGTTAAACCTTAAACCATTTCCTGTTGAATGTAGGCATGCGCCATCTGCCTGACCAATGAAAAGGATTTGGCCTTTGGCTGTGGGCACATGGTGAGCTTTTCCAAACAGATCAACATCTCTCTCTCTCTCATTTTCATATTTTCCTTTACATGTCGTGATAATTCTCTAGTGATTCTGTTGCAGACCTGCAGAGATTGTGGATCAAAATTAACAAAGTGTCCCATATGCCGAGAACAGATCACAAACTTTGTCAGGCTGTATCCTGGCTGATCATTGTAGGGTCGCATGTACATATTCCGTCTGTGCCATATCTTGTATCTATGTTTGATGTTAGAAAACAAAGCTCCTTGTTGGTGCTTCATGCGCATTCCTTTCAACCTTCCCCATTGTTTCTCCTCCCTCCCCAACCCAATGAGTTAACAGATTCAACACATATCTACTTGCGCAACAGAATGCTGATTAGGACAGCAAAGCAGCAGAAGCTACTCCAAAGCAGGGAAGAAAATGAAACTAGGCAGTACACGTGTAGGGATGTGAGCATATCAAACCCTTTCTTCAATAAAACTTATCTCAAACCTGTAGCATGTTCACTTGTATATTTATCACCGATTTGGTGTATTTGTTTTTTATATGCCAAGTCCACATAAGAATCTCTAGTACATAGTTCTTAGGTGGTAACAGTTTGTAGTGTTTATGTGTTGTCTTAGTCGTTTCGAAGAGTTTTGCAATTTTTGTTCCCTTTGGCCATAGGAATAAATATGTATTTAAATTCAAACAGTTTTGACTTCTTCCCTTGTAAACTACCCAATTATGGATAAATATGTGAACATACCAGACATTTTGTTTGCATCTTCTAACACGTGTATATGTTCATTTATATTTGACTTGATGTATTCTAACCGTATAAAAGCTTTTGCGTATTCTAATTGTACTTTTTACCCGACCTTGCCATAAATTAACGGAAAATCAATCAACTGTCATGGGATTTTATCAGCTGAGTCTGCTGGGTTTTAAGATACAGGGGATGTTGATCCATGTTTTCTGATAGTTTTACAAGATAAGACAGGATCATCAGTTGTATAATTTGAGCTGTGCTTGTTTGGCAAATCCTAATGATGTCATTTCATTTCCCTGCCTTTTGCAATTTTTAAATGTTATATGACAGCAGCAATATATTATTTAATTAAGGTTCTTTTACCATCATACAATACTTTCTCAGTTTGAATTAAATAAAAAAAATCTGTGGCAAGAAAAAAAAAAAACTCTATGCTAACTTAATGATAAAATAAAGTGAGGAGTGGATAGAGATAAAGTTTAAAAGTAAATTAAAAAAATTAGATATGGGTCATATGTTTGGAGATGTCAGATCGTTGACTGCCCCCGTATCCTGTATAAAGTATTTGCGTTCCACGATAATTAAATAATCATAATAAAAAATTTGGATCGAATTAGTTGGGCTGACAAGAAAATTGGTATTAATTATGATTTAAATTAGTTTATTTTAATAATTAATAAAAAATAGTGAGAACTTATAAAATTCGCATGATTTAAGAATTAATAATTAAACTCTATTCTTATAATTTGTAAACGTTTTATCTAATTTTTACACTATCTCTATATGTAATGGTAAATTAACATATTTATTTATATAGTTTTACATATAATGAATAATCGATCTAACTTGTAATCCGCCAGAGCAAATTCTTAGATTGGACTATGTCTTTATTTTTTCGGGTCTTCCGGCCAATGATTGGGCTTAGCTAATTTTTCAGTACAATCTCAATGGGCCCCTTTTACGAAAGAATATTTCATTGAAACTTTCCATCCTTCTGACCTTTATCTCTGTTTCCTGGTGAGACGGCAATTTGAAACTAATTGGTACTTCTGGTATTAAATATAAGACCTTTATACTAGTGTGTATAAGGGTCTTATATTTAGGACCGGAGGAATACTAATTTTTCTCTTAATTCTCACGGCAGAAAATATATTCCTTTTAGTTAGATTTGATTTACATAAAAAAAAAAAGAGAAATCAAACCTTCATCACTTACTCAAAATTTCTTACTACTTTTTTTTTTTTCATTTAGATAATTCATGCCACTAAATTACAACACATCGACTTTTTCCTATTCATCTCAACAGCTAAAAAAGCCTAGTGTTTTTATTTAAATAATGCTCCCAAATATAGAGTAATAGAAATACTACAAGATTTTTATTTAAACTGTGTGTGTATACACATTCATTATAATTTTTTTATAGATATTTTGATATAAATTATAGTTTTGTACGTTTCATAAAACTAAAGAAATAGTCCCCACTTCTTGAAGTTATGTTCCAACTGTCACATCATTGACTTATCATCCGCTAACTTACGATCATTTAAAACTAACACAAGGTAACCCTTGCGCAGTTGTGATGTGGCCTTTAGATGAAGTCATGCTAATTATTATAATTAACACATTTTTTCTCGGAAAGACCTCTCAAACACTGGGATCACTGGAAAACAAGCGGTGATTAGGTTGGGACTTTCACTGCATAGGTCAATATTTTTGGAAGAAGTAATTCACAACACAATAATTGTTATACTACTAATTATAAACCTGTAAATTTGATCCTTCCCATGGTGCTAGACCAGTTGTTCATGACTTTCATTCTGCTCTCATCTCATCCTCTGAAGAAAATTCTCTGGTGTCCAGATCAAGTTGTACAGTGGGCACTAAGGTAAGTCAATGGTTTTTTTGTAGACCTAAAAACTTTTAAGTCAATCTTCTAAATATTTTCTAATTTAACCCATCCGATTGGTTCTCATTTCCCGGCACTTGTTTCTGATCTAACTATAAATGGTGAAGGCAAGGCAGTTCTTAAAATCACAGATTGACTTGAAGGTTTTTGATGGGTTGTTTCTGAACCTGATTTGGTTCTTCAAGTTCATATTGATGATGATGGTGATAGTGTTCCTGAGGTGGGTTTTCTCAGGAGATAAAAGAGAACCCTATTATCAATATTCCAAAGCCGAGGTTGGAGAAGACAGAAAGGTTGAAGATGAAGAGGAAGATGGGAAGATTGGTTCTGAAAGAGTGGATTTCGATGCTTGCTCATTCTGTGGGAAATTGTGCACCGAAACCAGAAGAACTTGCTCAAGTTGCAAAACTGCTCTGTACTGGCAAGTTTCATCTTTAAGCTTTTTCATCATAATTGATACCCTTTTTAGTTTAGATATAAGTTTACCTGGTTTATGTATGATGTAAATTTAGAAATATTCTCTATTTTTTCTGATTAGAGTAAGGATGATTCATTCTGGTGTGTTAAATTTATCAGCTCATGGGCATGCCAAGCGACTCATTGGACATTTTGGCATGAATATGAATGCAATGAGATTGAGATTGAGACGGAACCACAGCATGAAAGAACTGTCCATGGGGCTTCTCAGCCTGTGACTAAGCAGTCTGAAAATGTAATGTTAACTATCATATACAAGCTTATTCCATGTTCTTTTATATGAAAATCCATGTTTTAACTTGCTCATATGAGAGCTATAAATACAGAAAAATCTGTAGGAATATATGAATTTTGTCCAAATTCATACACAGAAAGAACTTCATATTTTACCCGTTATGTCATTGACGATGTGACATAGTAATAGAGCTATCTATAAAGGCCTGAAACTTTTTTTTTCCAGATAACTTCCAGTTTAGCGAGGTTTATAACTTAGGAGGCTTATTGTCAAATTTTTAAGAGTAAGAATGTTATCTGGGTATGATCTAGAATTGAATTATTGTTCTATGATTGAATATTTGTGCAGGGAAGTTCTTGCTCATCTGATGAAGATGATGAGCAGATAACAGATGAGAGAGAGGCAGAACATGTTGAAGCAAAAGAAGAGCAACTTAAGAATGAGCTCAAATCCAAGCTTAAAAATGATGGAAGTTCTGAGGTATGAATACTGAGGAAGAAACTTCATCCAAGAAAAAATTCAATGGCCAAATTATGAATTCAGCCTTTGATTTGATGCAGAAAGCTATTGAGGAACCCAATGAAATAGCAGAACAAGTGAGAAAACTCAAGGAAGAACTGGCAAAGATCAAGTAAAAGTGTCTTATATTATTATTCTTGATTTTTCGCTGTCCACGTGTTCATAAACTGTTGTTATGTTTAATCCCAACACTTTATTAGGAACAAATTCTCGTCTCATTAATGTTGCAAATGTAATTGAAACACTGATGTGGTTGATAGAAATCAACCTTCTCTTACCAAAACACCTAGGTGGACTCTGTGCATTACACGGAGCATGAAGAATGCTAGTTATAAATTTTGAACAGATTGGTTTTTGTTATTGACTCAAAATATTTGTTGATAATCAGAAATGAGAACGTGTCATTAAAATCCGAGCGTGACAACTGGAAACGCAGGCAAGGAATGCTAAAGAGAAATTAAACAACTTCATGAAAGAATCTGAACACCAGGTAATTGCAGTAGTCATGAGAACAAGAAGCTTACCTCATGTTAGTCCTTTGATAAATATAGAAATGCAGAAAAAACTACCAAGTACAAAACTTTAATTTTTAGGGACGTGAGAAGGGCTAATGTGACATTTTGCGTCGTTTACTACTTTTACCAGATCCTTATTCTGAAGCATAAAAAGGAATTAATATCAGAAGCTGAGAAGCAAGCTCGTGGCATGGTTGATAGTTTATCTGAGAAGCTCCGCTACTTGCAGGTTATGCTGCTTCCAAATTCTCTTGCATGTTATACGTGTTACACCCGTCTTTTAAAATCAATACACTTGACATTTTATCGACCCTACTATGATAAAAATGGATAAAATCGGCTAAAATACACTACTATAATAGAAACGAACTTATCAACAAAGGTCAACCATGGTTAAAAGAACACAATCCTCATACAAATGTCAGCAAAAACTAAGATGTTACTATAATACTGTCTGTCTTTAAACTCTGTGGATACCATATAGGTTGCAGAGGAGAAGAGGGTTGCAGAGATGAAAAGGCAGGAAGAATTTATACTCATGCTTAAGGTATATAATGCTTCCAACGAAAAATTGCACTAAAGCACTCAGTATTTTACTTTATTTTATTTAACTATAATTAGAGTTTTATGTTGACTAGATTAGCAAGAATTATAGTTTAGAATCAAAGGTGAAGGTGAAGCCTGTAAGTTTCTTTGATTAATATTGTACAGAATGAATATGCAAAGGCTGTGAGAGAGGTACAAGAAGAGAAGGAATATACGAGAAAGCTGAGAAAGGAGCGTGATCAGGCCACTCAATTAAGCATGAAACTGGCTGAAGAAACTGGCCAAAAGCTACTCACTGCACTTGATGCTGTTGCTGCAATTGAAACTAGATTTGCTTCTCCCTCTCCCTCTCCTTCTCCTTCTCCTCAGGTAATTTCAAACATACATATTAATTTTCTTTAGTGTCTGAATCTTCTTGTGGGACTCTCAAGTAGCTATACGGTCCAGTGAAGAGAAAATTAGAGTGAGTGGTGAGATTGAGACCTGTCTGGCATGTGAACCCTATTACTCTTTTCATCTTTCTCCAGCAGAATCATGTAGCTACTAGAAAAACTCATTGGATAATGTTTAAATCAAGTATTTGATCTGTATGGGATGCATAAACTGGCACAAGTTTGACTTTCTCAATGGGTGTGACATTTATCTTGTATACCATTTGAAGCTAGCTAAAGTGGTAAGGGTACAATACGATATGAATAAAGTTTTAGGTTTAAACTCTCCTAATGTAATGAAAAAGAGAATAACAAAGAAATCTTTGTGTTGAAGCTCGCGGATTGGTTTTGCTTCTGCATGAAAAGAAAAATAGTGATTGGTTTATGTACTTTGTTCTGCATTCAGATTTTTCTGCTTTCTAACTATTAATTTTATTTAGGTTTCTCGAACAAACACTATGGACAGAAACCCCATCTTCCTTAATGAGCAGGTAAGCTGAGTCGTAGAGGAAATTCAAAAGAATCTTTTTTTCCCCCCATTTTAGCATTCAAATATAAACTTGAATGATTAAGATTGTTGTTTATTATAGTAAACAAAATTACATGTAAGTAATGAGGCAAATTGAAATTAATCCTATTTATAGATAGATCATGCTTGATTAATTATCCGAGCTAACATAGAAGCATTTTGCAATGAAATACAGGCATGTGCAATATGCTTGACCAATGACAAGGACATGGCCTTCGGTTGTGGACACATGGTGAGACTAAATTTATAAAAAACACAGTAGTAGTACTTTCTGTTTTTCTTTTTCTGTCTTAAAAACATGAGCGGTTTGAAATTATAAGTAGGATTGAATCCACAACCTCCTACTTGCAATGAGTTAGGCTAGCACTTTGTGTTTAATTTCACTAATTTTAAAGAATTCGAATTTCTCTATGGGTTTGGTTTTAGTATTACATTTAACAGTTAATTGATAATGATACAGACTTGCAGAGACTGTGGATCAAGAATGGCCAAGTGCCCCATATGCAGGCAGAAGATCAAAAGCAGAGTGAAGTTATTTCATAGCTGATTTCTCTCAAAATCCTCATGCTCATCAATATATCAAGATCCAACATATATGATTTGCTTTATTAAAGTCACATATAGCGCAGCTTCCCTTCAACTTTGTCCAATACAAGGGGAGCCAAGTCACATGATTTATCATATTAGCCATCGTGTGATTTCTATCACAAGTCAGTAATAAATCTTATGTACAGCTTAAACTATTTGCTGCATTATGTAAATTTCCTCCCAGACAAGATTTTTTTTTTGTCTGAGAGGATAAATGTGTGTGTATATATTTAAAACTGGTCTCTTTTAAATTCCATTTACTTTTTTTCCCCCTTATATACTCATTAGGTTTTTTGCTACGTCTTTTGTTATTGGAGGTAATTCTATTCGAGACATTATCAAGCATCTCTCTCAGATCCTAATGAAAATTCAAATTTTAATTCATCACATTGTGAGAGATTAGCTCTTTTCACTAAGCTCAACTTTTTTTTTTGGGGCCAAACTAAACTCAACCCATTGGCTCCCTGTTAATTGATCGTTGTAACCTAAACACCCCCAATCTCAGTCTCTCACACGCTCTTTTTCTGACTGTCACGCGCTCTGTCTTTCGGTCCATATGATAGCGGGCTGGATTTGATGGGCCTATTGGGCCGGCAGTGGGTCGATTGTTTTCCCATATGTCCATCACTTTTAGTAGATCGGATTGTTGGATAATTTAATTGATAATCATAATTATTACCATTCGTCAATTCAATTTTCAACTTTTGAAATCTTAATTTCAACATTTATTATGAAAAAAATAGTTTTAAAATCATTCACAGAAAACTTCCTTGAACTTTACTTATTATACTTTTGACGTTGGATTTAATGCTTCACTAAAAATCATAATTATTCATCTCACATGAAATTAAACCTAAAACTTCATCACGAATTGCTGTGATGTCATTATCAATCAATTATTACTATATTAAGTGTTTAGATTAAATTAAAAATTATTTTTATCACACCCCTGTGCATATATATATGTGTATGTCAAACAATATATGTAGGCTACCATTGGTAGCATATCCAACTCATTTTAATTTTAAAAATCTGAATCAAACTGCCCATTTTCCTACATTCATATATTTCTATATAATCAAAATCCTAGTGTCAATAATTCCTTGTTTTTTGTTTTCTAAATCTCTCTAACCAACTGATACTTTTGACGATGCAACACAAATAATGGACCAGATATGGTTCTTTTTGTAATTACCAATTTAGGAAAACACTTCAAGGGGTTCCATATACAGGATTCCATGTTCAAAGGAAGCAGGTAGCTAGATGTAAGGCGCTTGCTCATTCCTTCTCTATCACTTTTTCTGTGTCTAAAGGAAAGAATCGTCGCCCACTATAAACTAAAACTAACAGAAAAATGGTCCAAGTTGCCGGCGTGACAATGATATTATATAAATACATCTGTATATATAAAGAGGACACTACTCACAGTCATAATAATTAATAATTAAAAAAGAAGAAGAAGAAAAAGAAAAGCTTGGGAAACACATGCAACAGTACTTATCATCAGTGACACTTGCGTTGTGGAATTCTGCGCAGTGATTCATATATATCAGATTCAGAAGAAGAAACCCACATGACGAAAGCTACTGTTCATTTCTGCAATTTGCTTAAAAGCAGAATAAATATTTTGTCTTTTGTGCACAAACTAATATGCCAATTTACAACACTTATCCATAGATATTGCCAACTTTTCCGAATCTGATGATACTCTTCATATATACATATATCTTCTCTATCTCACTCTTCTGTACAAAAAAACTTAACTATCCGATCCCTTCACCGACTCTTTTTATTTTCTTTTATGTTTTTACTCTCTATGTGTGCTCATATATATATGTGTGTGTGCGTGCTTTAATTTCATGGTACATTATTTGCGAAGGCTTCATTAATTATTCCACAACTAAGATCGTGTGGAAGGTTGCATGGCTTTAGAAACCATTCATCTAATAACACCTTCTTATAACGTGATTCTCTTTCTCTTTCTCGGTCTCTGTGTGTGTGTGTGTGGGTTCAAAAAGATGAAAAGAATAAGAGCCATGTGAATGACAAAATATGATGAGAAATGCATATAAAGTATAACACCAGAATCACACACACAGATATGATAATATATATACCTATAAGTGTTGCCAAGAAGCGATCGATCCCTTTTTTCAATCAATAATTGAAGTTTGATTCTTTTGGCGAGCATATATATATATATAATGAGATAAAGAAGTGTATATTAAGTGGATCATATGATGATATATGAGTTAATCTGGTTTGATATAATGTCTGTTTAATTTTATCAACTTATAATTAATTGGATCTAATTAACTTGTTGTATAAGCAAATTTCTAATATAAAAAGAAAACCTAGCTAGTATAACAGTTAAATCACTGTGAAACCGAAAAAGAAAAAGAACCAGACATAGCCGTAAGGATTAATGTGGTGGCTAGCTAAACCTAGAATATATAGCGATGCTGCTTTTTGTAGCAGCTAGCAGCAATTTGGTGTTTGTACTGTTTCATCGAAGATGAAGATAATAAATGGATGAGTTTGGAATCTCTTTATGCAAAATCAAAAGCTGTTTCCTCCAAATTTCTTTCACACATAAGGTTAAGCAAATAGCTCTAAGACTAAGGGGAATGGAGAATTGTAAAAGACGGTTTGTTAAAGTTAACTATATTATATTATATATTGTATTTGCGTTACATATATATATTTCTATAAACACACACACACACACACAAAGTCATTCGGCAAAAGATTGAAGCTCCTTTCTCTAACCATCTTTAGTGTGTCAGCATAATTGAATTTATACAACTCAATCCGCGTCACATTTGAGGTGTAAAAACCAAAAGCTACCTAAGAAACACATAAAGGGCAGTAACTTAACCAGAATGTGGAATATAATTCTTCGCCGTTTTACTTCAAAGCTAATACTTACATAATATATGCTTCAAAAGTATATTTGACCTCCAATGCTTTTGCCGCCACACCAAAAACCCTAATTAAAGCTGTGCTTTTATCATGTAAGTATAAAAATTAACACTAGTAATAAGTATAAGTACATACAGTATTAGGCATTCCCTCAATCATTAAAAAATAACTACATTAGTATTATTGTCGAATTTTAGTCTTATTTGAAATAAATCTTGAAAAACTACATATATGTTGAATTAAAAATTCCACTGGGGGTTGAAAGACTCCGATTAATGTGTGTACATATATCTTATGCCAAAAATTTGAAGACCAAGATAATTTTTTCCTATTTATTAGGTCTTATAGTTAGCAATGAAAGAGTATTAAAAATCAGATCCTTTACTAATTCTTTTACATTAAAAGGTAGAGAATTTTCACTTGCTTAATTATATTATCAGTGACGAGCGTTAGTGAACTTGCCGTTTTTGTGTGTGATTGCGCGAGAGAAAAGTGAGAGAGAGGGAAGAGGGAAGAGGAGAATGGGGCAGTCAAAGATTTTGGTAGTAATGATTAAAGAGACGAGTATGTCTTTACCCAAATGAAAATGATATTTTAAGGAAAGGGCATTGGAGAAGGAACAAAGGAAACAGTAAAGAAAAAGTGTGTTTGGATGGCAGGAAAAAAAATTAAAGGAGGCAAGAAAATATTAAAGATAAAGAAGACAGTGACAGTTTGACAGGTAGATTTGCTCAGATGCTGTTGGGCCCCTACCTTAAGCCCCCCATCTTATGCTTCATAAAGGGCTCTTTCCCCTTCTTCCTCTGAAAATTAAAGACCAACCGCCCATTACAAATTACACTTAATTATATATCTCAGGGACCCCACCCAACTCATCTCTCTACATTCTATATACTTGATCCCTTTTTTAATTAATTTTATCTGTATGATTTCAATATAGTTTGTTTTACAAAACATTTCATGTTTATATAATTTTCTCTTATAATCTCATGAGAGAGGAACTTATACATGATCTTATTGTTTGTTGGTCTACAATTTTTTATTTTATGAGTATAGATACCATATCTTGAGGAAAAGAGTTCTTGATCACTGAAAATTGTATTAGTTCCAGTTCTAAATATAAGAAATAGATAAAGGCTTAGAGATGCGTAAGTTCTATAATAATTACATAAACGCATCGCAATTAGTGATGAACCCATAGTTAGAATGCTCATGACATTGAACACAATTCTTTTATCGCTTTTTGTTAAAATAGGACTTAGATGGATATACAAATTTAAATGTTTCAATTCAAACCTGTATTTGGTAAGAATTTCTTGATGTTAGAGCTAGACATTGTTTAAATCCAATAAGTTAATCTTGTCGTACTTTTTCTGGTCTATGTTTCTAAATGGTCTTGATCAAAGTTTTAATACTATTACTTTAATTAGACATGATCATGATGGCTTCGATTTCTGCTAGTCCAAGTGTATATATCTTCTATTAAATTAAAATACAGCACTGCGTATGCCAACGCGTAATAGAAAAAGGCAAAGCAAAGCCAGATTCAGTATTACACTACATTTTTTTAATCGTATGTGTTATACTTAAAGCATGAAGCGATATGCATTAATAATTGTTAAATAAGTGTATGTTCGGGAAGGAATATTGCGATTAATTATATTTGCAGCTTTAATTGGATCATAGTTAATTAATCAGCAAATTCTGCAACATGTCACATTACTAGTAACATGTTTCTACGCGCTTTACTCTGTCACTTTCCTTTTTTACCTTGCTGTATTATCTTAGTTTATGATACTAGATCTGCTTTATACTTAGATTCATGATTAAGTTCAGAGCCAGTTGATCTTGGAGTGAGGTCCATGCATATTCATGTGCTTGCATGGAACATGATTTATGAGCTTTATGAGCTTGCAACGTTTCTTTGAACATGTAACAAAAGGGTCGAGATTAATTTTCTGGATACTGTTGGTGGTTTAATGCTTAATTAGCGAACTTGTTAATTAGAGTCCAAGTCTTGTTTGATGGGCATTATTTCCTAAGGAGATCATATCTTGAAACACCTAAACACTATTTATAGTTGGATACCACCGAAAGCCTGGATCAAGTAGTAAAAAGGTTGTTCCAATTTAACTAGAGGTCTCAAGTTTAAACTTACAGGTAGTAGAGCTTCCACCTGAAAGGGTCCTCTTCAATCGAATTTGAATTAGTCCGGTCGTGTGTGGAGTTCGATACCCGTGAACAAAATGGTTCATTCATTCATTAATCATGGATAATAATTGTCATCTTCATTTGGGAAAACTATTGGAAAAATGCCCAGGTAGGCTAATATACATATATATA